ACAAAGCAACGAGTTTCTGGTCAGTGGGTTGCCCTTGGAAGAGCTCTCCTCAGTTGGCCCCCTCTGACATGGCCCAAAATACCCTGATACGCTGTGTATTGCTGTCGTGCGGTCTTTGCTCAAGTTGGTTTAACTAGAGGAGCAAGCAGTCGGCAACATTCATCTCTCGAGGGGGTGTCTAACTTGGTGTTACAGTGTGTTTGACCATAACTTAAGTTTACGCCAGAATATCCCTTGAAAACAAAGAATCCTAAATCTGAAATCTGCAGTTCACTGATTAAGTCTGACCACAGTATCCACTAAGAGTGGTATTTATCTGCTTTGTTGCTCCGTGTCGTTGCCCAGCAGAGACCTTCTCTTTGAGATAGTTGTAGGCAGGGAGGGTTTTCATGTCAATCCCTCATCAGTGCCACTGTCCCTCAGCCCACTCAAAATAGCTCCAGACTGGACAGAGCAACACAAAAGGGTTTCTTTGGAGGCCCTGTCCCATTTGAGTGCAACACAAAAGAATCACTGTGACAAACTCTCTTACACCAAAACTTGCAGAAAAAATGATCCATTTGCATCCTGGCAAATTGAAGAAAAAAACATTTTGTTTATTCCAGACAGATAGTCAATTTTTAAAACATTACTAGACTGCAATTCTTCCATTACAGTTTATGTCTGAACATTTTTCTTCCATTCAGCTGTTGGAAAAACATTGACTGCTCTATAAAGAAAGATGGGATGTTCATGCATTCAGAGTCTGTGGATTCCTTGAAATTGCAATGAATACTAATCAGCTTGTAAATGAGACGAGACTTCCAAATGTGTCAGCAGAGACAAACACCTACCTGCCTCCCAGATGACCTGCTATCTAAATGGTAATGTCCGTTCATGTCGCCCGCATACAGAGATGAAGGATGCGGTGTTAAACTTTATGGCGTCTCTGAGGTGTGCGTGTTTCTGCCGCCATGACTTGTTGATATGCTGCAGAGTTTCAGTTTTTTTTTTGACCCAGCAAACTTTCCACAAAACTAAAAGGAGAAGGAGTGTGACATTTTTACTGAGATTGCCCCAACAGAAACAAAGCAATGAGTTTCTGGTCAGTAGGTTGCCCTTGGAAGAGCTCTCCTCAGTTGGCCCCCTCTGACATGGCCCCAAATACCCTGATTTCTCTGCAAATTGCCCTGCACGCCAAATGATGGTACTGCCTCTTTATCACAGTGTGGATAATACTTGCAAAGCAGCATACATGATAGCTGGATTGTCAATTTTTGATATTTGATACTGGATAAACTTGTAAATTTGTTGTGGTCACAGAAAACCGCTACACTACAAAACAACCGTCTGTTCTCAGAAATTTATAAGAGCGGCTGTAAATTTTCAAGACAAATTGTCTTTTTTTTTTTAATAAATCCAATCCAATCTAATGAATTTTATTTATAAAGCACAGTTAAAGTAAACACAAAGGTTTCCAAAGTGCATACAGTTCAATAAAAACAATAAAACATGATAAAAAGACAAAAATACTAAGGATAAAAAAATAACTAAAACAATTAATAAATAGACTATCCTTTTTGGTCCGTACACCTACATGGTGTCAAAATCCAAAGCAAACAGGATTTAAGTTTTAAAGTTTTAAAATAAGACAGTGAGGAGGCCTGTCTAATATGCAGTGGCAGTTTATTCCACAATTTTGGAGATGCAACAGAAAACGCTCTGTGAGTCATTGAATATCATGAGAAAACTAATAACTTAAGTGTGTGGTGAGTCTAAATGTTATCATGAAGGAGGAAATGGGATTGATTGGTTTCACAAATAACAAATGTTTGATTTTTGGCACATCAGCACCAAATGTTTAATGTAAGGGCACTCTGAAAAGATTGTGAATAAACTTGGTATAAAATGTAATTAAACACTTTTACACTCCAGTAAAACTCCACAAGATGCTACAAGATCTCCTGATATTCACCTTCAAAATAAAACATCTGCTCAACAATAACTAAAAACCAAGACTTGGTTTTACAACAAGAAATCTAACATCTGTCCCCTCTGATGAGGCAGAGCTGAGATTAAAATAAAACTGACACCAGCACAAAACTCACTTCATGCACTCATAAACACATTAACACGACCTGCAGGGTGACTTTGGTAAAAGGTACAGAGTGTTGTCAGGTTTCCACACACACACACACACACACACACACACACACACACACACACACACACACACACACACACACACACACACACACACACACACACACACACACACACACACACATTCTCATCATGTGCCTCCTCTCATTCTAGGTGACTTTGAAATTCCTGAGTCTTAAAATCTGTTTTCAGCTCACATAAAAGCCTAAAATAGAGGTTGCCGGGTGAATGTTTATCATGCTGAAACGTGTGTGTGTGCGTGCACGTGTGAGTGTGTGTCATTGTTGTCACTGGGACTACTACCTATCCACACACAAACATGCACAAGGACATTTGTAGAGCACCACAACTTAACCATGTGACGTCGTGACGTTAGGGAAACCAGGTCAGTGAAATCCAACAGAAGAGAGAGAGGGGGGTGGATGGGTGGGGGGGGAGAGCAGGTGAGGAGGAGAAAGAGAAGGGGTGGGGGGGGCTGACAGCATATTTATGTGCCAGTCTACACGTGTGTATTTTTGTGTTTGTGTGACCCCATGACTGCAGTGTGTGAAGCAAGTACAAACTGGTGTCCTCCTTCTTGGAAGAGCAGAGGGAAAACTTTTCCTTCTATCCATCCGTCCGTCCACACACACATAATACACGCTGCGTAAAGGAACACACACTTCCCACTCTCCTCATGGCACATGTTTGTGTTACATGTTAACGTCAGTGAGTGACAGCACTGCTGGGAAAGAGGGACCCTGCAGCTTTAAAAACCAGTGTGTAATAATGGGGCTCTGGTTATGTAACAAAAACCAGAGAGAGAGAGAGAAAGAGTGTGTGTGTGTGTGTGTGTGTGTGTGTGTGTGTAAGGTGGGGGTTTTAGCTGGTTAGGGGCTGGAGACGAACAAGCGGGGGTTTCTTCTCTCTGGTGCGTGGAGGAATGCCCATAAATCCATCGACTATTCGATCTGGGAAAGACCCAGAGAAGCTAAGTTTAAAGATGCTGTACATTCTGATGTGATATCATCATGTTTAACAGCTAAAGATTCACGATATTTTTCAGTAAGAGACTCTAAAACTTTTTCTTCCTTCCCTTCTTAAAGTGTAGAAGGACTGCTGTCAGAGAGGCCTGACTGTTTCATTTGTTTTGAAAGTTCCTGAAGTATCATTACATAACGTCTGAGGAGAAAAACAAACTAACACCAGAGTCGACTTTAAAGGCATGAATGCGGCTTTAGCAAACCTCTTTCTTTGTGTCCCCCCAGTGGTAGTAAAAATAAAATAACACTGTGGTAATGTACAACTTGTCAAAGCCCACACAACGAACTCAGAGCAGTCGCACTGCAAAGTTTTACTGCCTGTCATCCAGAGAGAATCAGAATGCCTTTTATTGTCAATAGACGCAGTACAATGAGATTAAAGCCACACATATCAGTGCAAAACAATGGAAAAAAGATAGATAAAAAATATACCTGAGATTCTTTTTACAGGATAAATATGGTACGGATATGCATAAATGTAATATGTAACAGGATAAAATATAAAGTGCACAGTCCTGAGATCCTATTAACAGAATAAATATGGTAAATACACAGAAATAGCATCAATTTTGTCCATCAGTGATTTGGAATATTGCACATGTTTAGGTATATAGAAATAGAAATATGACACAAGAGTAGTATGAAGTATATACAATGTAAACATATGGACCTGAGATTCTTGAACACATCCATCCATCCCAAAAGAAAGTTGAGGGTTCAATCCCAGGGCTATCCACATGCCAAAGTGTCCTTGAGCAATTCACCTGACCCCAACAACGCCCACAGGCTGCACCCAGTTGTGTGTAAATGGTATTACTCAAAAACTGATGGACTAGTTTCTGATGCTGAAGTCTGCTGGCCTGCAGTGTCTACACATGGACTTAATTACCAGCAGGTACTTATTTATGTCCTTATTTGCATATTTTTTCAATTGGAAAAATGCTTGAAGCGAAAGTCACATGAGTTACTTTAAATCTTCAAATATAGCCCAGGTCTCCTATTTATTTTTACTGCTTAAGGGACGAGGCCTTTATATGAAGCAGGCTTTTATAAGAGGCAGGCCTTTATTTCAAATTCAGTCTCTGAGTTTTATAAATGTTCATAAAGTGAGCTATTAATTTATAGGAAAGGTTTGGTTTGAGAGGTACTTCTTTTTTAATAATTCGACTGGCCGGGTTAAACACTTTTTTTCCAAAAAGAGAGTTTCAGAGGGGAGTCCCACATGCAATGGAATAAAGAACCTTTTTGTTGCTTGCATTTAATGCAAGTATCTGGGATATTTGGGTTGAAAAGGTGTAGCTTACTTGGGGTTATATACTGTCTGCTTATCCATTAGGGTGGAATAACTGCTTAAAATAACACACACACATTATGATGGAGTGTCTGTTAGAGTGTCTTTTTTTTCTGATGACTTGAAGGCCACATTATTCCTGCCAAACAGACCCTCCAGCTAAGTCTATGATGGATGGAAGGATGGTTTTCCATGGAAGACAGACTGGGTGAGAGAAAGTGTGTGTGTGTGTGTGTGTGTGTGTGTGTGTGTGTGTGTGTGTGTGTGTGTGTGTGTGTGTGTGTGTTTATTTATGAGTAAGAGAATAGGTGGAGAGGCCTGGGTCTTCCTGATGTTTAACAGCTGTTGTCAGCGGACACTGTCCTCCAGAGACATTAGCCGTGGTCGAACAATAATTACAGTAAAAAAGCTGTTATGTCTGTTTCTCTTCTTTCTCCACTCATGCTCTTTTTCATTCTCTCTCAGCCAATCACAAACTTCCTTTTACCCTATGTGATGTCATATGACAGAGGAACAAACCGCAGCCCCCGACAGCATCTCAAATTACACAGAAACAGAAAGGAAACAGAAAAACAGCAGTCAGATCCCTGAGACAGATGTCCACTTCATAACTACTCCATCATTCTGAGAACTTACTGGCTCTGCTGTTCGTACAGAGAGCCATCAGTTTGATCTGGTAGAGGCTAAATTTTACTAATGTGTTTAAATACTGTGCTATTTTATTCACATCTTTGTTTGACGGAGGATTGGTAATATTTTATTCACATGCTTAAATTTGACAAAAATATGACAAACGATGATGCAGTGTCCTTGTATTGAAAGACAGAAGGGACGGCAGACCTGTTTGATGTTGTCTAGGTAAAAGGATTTGTTGCTCATTGTCACATCATCAATGATCAGAACATAACCTCTGCGTTGGATTTCTCATTACTTCATCTTCCAAGAGCCTTTCTGAACGTGTGTGTGTGTGAGAGAGAGAGAGAGAGAGAGACCTAGTTTATGAGGGAGGAGGCTGACACAGAGAACATCACCAACAAAGCAGAACAGTATGGGATGGTGTTTCACGCTGAAAAAAAGGAAGCTCTGTTTTCTCTTTTCACACCCTTAAAACACTTCAGCAACACTTAGTGCTGCTGATTAGTTTTAATGTGGTGATATCACCTTGTGACCTGGAACATGACTGAAAGACACTGTAGTAGAATTTAGACTTTCAACTCTACCTGCAATATCCAAAAAAAGAAAAAAAAGTTTGCTTGATGACTTTCATGGACTTGAATTTCACAGAAACAAAGCTGCTCCAGGCTGAGTCCCAAAATGTAATTTATGTCTTCTGTTTGAACATCATACATGGACACTTTGCATGGCAGGATTTATAGCCAACAGTGGCGTTTGTACCCACTGTGAACACGTCTCCAGTTTCATGTATTTATAGCAGGAATATACAGGCAGTCATGTCACAAATGTGACTCTGTTTTTATGAGATGTTGTCCTGCGTGGAGCTCAAAGAGACACATTCAACGTTGCAGAGCTGGTGTTTGTGAGGAGTCTCATCGATTGTCCTCTCTTTGGGGAAATTACATAAATCTATCTTATTACAGAGAGAGAAATGATGCTGCAGAAATGGACACTCACATCGTGTTTGTGGGTGAAGATTTGGGTGGATCCGCAGAAGCTCTGCTGGTCACCAAAACACAGTAGTCCTATAGTGAACATTCACAGCAGCAGAGCAAAAACAAAGACGTAGAAAGTTATGGGAATAACAGGGTTATGTAACTCACAGTAAAAGAGGGGGGCAGGCTGCTGCTCATACACTAGAACAAGGTTAAAACACTCCCGACCAGCAGCTGAGGGTTGTAAAAGCCAGAGTCAGGGTCAGAGGTGATGGGCTGCTGTTCTAAATCCATAAAGTAACAGTCTCCCTGGTCATCATTCACACCAGGATCTCACAAGACTGGCAGCCATGAGGGGGAAATAAAGTGGGGCAGGTAAAAGCTGCAAGGACTTCAGCAACAACACCTTAGTCTGAAGAGAAAGAGGAGGTGTGATGGGGAGATGAAAAGCTTAACTTAACATCTGTGTAAACCTGTTTATTTAAAGAGAAACACCATGATGAAATCTATCAAGTTATTGCAGTAATTTTAAAATACTTGAAAAGAGATTGCATTAGTAGGGGATAATACATCATGAACAAGTATGTATGGAAACCAAGTCATTCTAGTGATGGGAAGAACAGTTCCTTCGACTGTACTGAATCTTTAGAATCCGTTCATTAAAAGGATTCGATCAAAAGATTTGTTCACTGAATCAGTCAGTGCTTCGGAGCCCCGCGCTTCACAGCCGTGAGTTCGTTCATTGATCGAGACCCTCCCCTCTCCCCTGCTTCTGAAGTCACAGCGTCGTTCACTGGGTGACACATGTCATTTATTTGCCAAGTCCTGAGGGAAGAATCACTCCCCTGCCCTGAAAAACTCACATCTTTGTGTATCGCTGTCTGCGAAAACAACAGAGCAGCAAGCAGCACGCTCGCTAAACAAACAAGAGTCGTCGTTCTTTTATATCGCAGGAAAGTGGAGTGATTAAAATAAGTAAACATCGAAGCTGTAGCTGGGATTCTGCTACGCTTAAAGATATCAAATAGCGTATTGCTTTAAATCGGCTGAAGTTAAATATTTCTTGCAGGAAAGTTTATTCACGTGTATTAATATAAAGGCACTATAATGCGCTGTTTTATCTCAGTCTCAGTGAATAAAGCGGTGTTCAGCAGTAAGTGAACGACACTACACCCCCTCCCTCCTCTGCCTGCATCAAGTCATTTGGAAGTAGTTCATTTCATTCACTGTGTCGTTCACTGACTGACTGAATCATTCCGTTCACTGACTGATACATATCGTTCATTCGCTGTGAGTGAATCACGAGTCTCCGCCCGCTCGCTGACTGGCTGTGTGTCGTTCGCCAGAGTCAGAGTCGGCCGTGAATGAATCAGATCTCTGAGTTATTCAGTTCATACCGTTCACTCAGCAGTTCTGTCCTTTTGAACGAAACGTTCATGAACAACGCAACACTAAGTCATTCATGTTTGGTGAAAAATACAGACTAAAAGACCCACTGTGATGAAAGTTATGTTTTTCTTGTTGTCTATAGGTTCATATGATACTTTTATGTTGCTAGAAGACATACAATGAGAAAACTAAGTGCAAAATTGCATCTCTGAGTATTTTTGTATTCAAATTGCTGTGAACCTCTAGCAGACCCAAATGTCAGGTTCAGACGCTGTAGGATTTTCTACAAACCTATGCTCCACCCCCCCGGCTCCCCTCTCTGCTGGCCAGACCCCAAGAAGTAGAGAGGATGATGGCCGAAGAGGCGTGTGCAGTAGCGGACTGCAATTCTTGTAAGAAAGCTAATTATGATATAGGCTTTGATCATATCCCCAAAGACATTCATGTGAGAGCTGCTCCTTCAACTACACCGGCAATCAGGGGACAATCCTTTTGCACTGCAGACGCGGTTGTTCTTCTGCCTTAGCGTCTCGGTCTGATTGCATTTCCATGAACTAATAATCATAAATGTTCTTCCTTGAGCTGCAAAACCCCGATTCTCTCTTTCTCCTGAGTCTCACCCTCCTTCAGCACACTGTCAGATAAAGTAATAAAAATACTTGTCTTGCTGTCTCATAAGCGGAAAGCACATGAGCCTGAAACAAAACCTCTTAAATTGTAATTATATCATCATCATCATCATCATCACCCTCTCTGCCTGGACCACATTCTCTCCCGTGAGGCCCAACAGGACAGCAGTATTTTCTAATGGGCAAAGCTTTGCTTTCCCAGGTTGCTGGGTGTCTTTAAATGCCCCTGCAGATGAATCAATCAGAGGGAAGAAAAGAGCTCTTTTTCCTCAAAGTTCACTCCAGGACTCGGACCGTCATGTTAATGATGTTTGTGTATTTCTCTCCAGGCCCCAGCCTGACTCTGTAAAGGAAGCCACAGGTCAAAGGGAGATGGAAAGGCATTAGTGAAAGCGAGTGTGAAGACCGTCTCTGGATCGCACTTAATTTTAATGGGAAACAAATTACACAGACAGCTCGAATGAAACGGAAATGCCACATAAAGCTGAACATGACTTGGTTTGCTAACTTGTAATTGGTTTTGGGGGAATGTAAACATGAAGTTTATGAGTGATTTCATCTGTGTGTGTCCAAATGTGTGAGGGTTTGTGTGCGGAAAGAAATATTTGTAGGATCAGAGTCAAGTCCAGATATTAATGTTCAAATACTGCAATATTTAGTGGAAATTAAACCAAGAGGGAACAGTGATACACACCATTAAATCCTTCTGTGATGCCCTGAGAGAACGCTTGGAATAGGAATTTGTTTTCCTCTGGGAGGTTTTTGCTTGGCTTGTTATTTGTAGCAGGGAATTAAAACTGTGCCTGTGAGGTTTGCCTCTCCCGTAAGACATTAGGCAGACACATGTTGTGGTTCTGAGGCAATAAAAGAGAAGCAGGGGAGAGAAAATGAAGCAAAATCCCAAATGTCTTGTGCAAAATTGTTCCTTTTTATAACTGATGTGCAAATAACTTTGAATGCAACACTATTTTTAAACTGTGTGCAGCAATAGGTTGCACACCAGTGTCTAAATAAGACATTTGTAGACACAAATATGCACAGCACACCATAAATGCCCAGAGTGAAGTCTGTTACGTGCAGTTGCGCATGTGTTTGTATGTGGGCAGCTGTATCTGGGTGCTCACAGTTTGACAAATGGGGCCTGAAATTAGGTGGTGATATAAATAAATGTCCTATCGTTGCAGTTTAATCCAGAGCACATCTTACAGTCTGTATGCTGAGTGGGCTGTTTATTTGCTGCTTAACAAACAATAATGTACAGGTACAAGCCAGATTGTTGGGTAAACATAAACCAGGGTTACAAATCTGAGTTTACAGAGTTTTATCATTGCTACATTACAGTTAAACAAATCTGAACCTCACTTCTCTGCACTCTGTGAAAAGAAGAAAAGCTGTCTTCAAAAGAATTTCTGTACTCCACTAATTTTGTTCCACTTTGGTGAGAGCCATATGTTATCAACAGAAGGTGAGGGTGCTCGTGGGAAATGCAGTCTTCATTTGGAATTCACCACAGATTTGATCCAAAGGGGTTAACAGAATAAGCACATCATGGATGATCTTCACAACACTTTCAAAGGAAGATTCTAGTTGGCCAGATCAGCTTGGTTTGTTATTCCACGAGGTGTTTACAACATTTAGTTGTGAATGAGACTAGCAGGACACTGCCAAAGGCATCGGGAACTGTCAACCAGAAAATTGGTGCTGTGGGAACCAACACATGGGCATCGGTCAAGAGGACGTCCTACACTATCATACTTGGACATACTCAAGAAGGATGCAGGAGCTCAGAGTACCAACGGACTGGTGAGATGTATGGAGAATCGGGGTGACTGGAAGCGACGATGGAAGGCTCGCCTGAGGACGACCCAGAGAGAGAGAGAGAGAGAGAGAGAGAGAGAGAGAGAGACAGCCACCATTAACAACAATAAGACAGGGTTGTCAATGGAAACGCTGATGGCACGCTCCATTTTGCCCACTCGCATTACACTTTCAACATGGGAACATTTAACTGCCATATGCAAATCGAACAACAGTAACAATGGCTGACACATTATTCATTCATTATCATGAGAAAACGATCTTTGTTATGTTGAGATAATGAGATAAATCATTATCACGAGATAACAGTAATAGAAAAAAATCCATGGCTGTTTTCGTTTTCTGCATTTATGTGAAATAGAAGCCCCCTCTGTATTTTTTCAGGGTCTTGCTTATCCTGTTGGGATTTCAATCTGCATAATTAGCTGCTTACTCTGCAGTTTCCCCTCTATATTAACAAAATGCTCACTTACATGAATGTTTCACATGACAAGCAGGACATTTTGAGCTGACAGGCTGAGTCTGTGAAGCTGATGTGAGAGTTAAAGTGTGGCAGTAAAATACTGTTAACTTAAAGTCTGAGTACAGCGGATATGTTTTTGGACATTGACATATTTCTAAAGAAATAAAACAGCAAGGTCGTGTTGCTATTTTTCCATCGACCACACCGTGTTCTGCACTCAGTCACCAAAAGCTCTTGTCGCTCTTACCACACGCTGAGTTAATTGATCTGGGAGTTGTTCTTCGTCACTGAGAACTCTGCAGGCTGGAGCCTGGTCTATTTCTGTCGTTTTTCTATGATGTCCAACAAAATATTTTGATGTTTAGATTTTCCAGCTATGCGTGATTGATTGCTCAACAGTCAACTGAGGGTAAAAATGGACATTGGTCCACACTTCCTCAGAATATGTATACGATATATGCATATAGACAGAGCTGCGGCTTTCCCCAACATGTACCTTGCAGTTGCATATTGGGTTTCATTGCACAGATGCCCACTCGGGGAAACAGATGGAGGTTTGTCATACAAACTGAAAGATCTACCAAATGTTTGTTTGAGCTGCAGCAGTGGATCATCTCTGCTACCTCTGCTATCAAACCCAGCAGGGCCGTCTTCCATCAGACAGGGCTCTCTGTACCAGCAGAGAACCACTCTCCTGTTCCCCCGCCTTTATTCATCCAGTCTGCCTGTGACCGGAGACAGCTCACCTAATGTAACCCGTGAAGCTGATGAATCGCTGCTTTAAAAAGTACAACTAAAGTGGGTTTGTGCTTTTTAAGTGTGCGGTGACGCTGCATGAGGGACAGACAGGCTGGCTTGTCAGAGTCTGGTGGGTAGGAAACAGTGTGTGTTCTGTATGGTGTACTGTGGGACAGTGTGTGTGTTTCACCATGGAAACCTGAAGTATGATGTCAGGTCTGTGGGTGAAAGGCTGGTTTTACTGCATGATTGACAAGGCTGCATGTGTCTGTACCAGGTCGGTAATGGATGGTAAACATAGATGCATTTTGATACACAGACAGCATTCATTTACATTAACCTGTCACTTCACTTATGCACACGTACAAAAAGGTTTTTGATGGTGTGAGAGAGAAATGAACATTTTTCCAAGGCCAGAGAGAAGAGTTATAAAAAACAGCTGTATACATTTTCGTAGTGATTCTTCTGAATTAAATGATGTGTGAGTCAGTCTTCTCTTTATATTCATTTTTTTGTGTCTATAAACTCATGATGTAGCAGGAGGCCTGGTGTCCTTCCTTCAAAAGATTTGAAATCATCGCTGTATGAAACACCACTTCCTGTCATAACTCACTGCTGCTCGTACATCATTTTAATGTGTGTCTGAGGTCAGTCCAGCTCTATCACATAATACTGTGTTTCCTGTCAGTGGTCTGAGATCTGTCAGAGACATGCTGGCTAAACTTCACTTTCACATCTCCTTAATCCGGGAGTTTGGATCAGAACAGCCTGAATGTTTGGGTTACATTTGACACGGGCATCATGATGTGCCGCCTGAGCTGCTTGTTTGCTTGTATGTGTTCTCTGTTTGCATGTGGGTAATTCCTGGTTTTTAACATTGTTTATTCATCTTATTTATAAATTGGTACTTTTGTGGATTTAGTTGAGCATGTGCAGCAAACTGTTGTGCTGTTGTCCTGTATTTGGCTCTTAGTTTCTTGAATATAAAATATTAACTGTCAGTGGTGGTGATAGTTTGCTGTGGAACTATTAAATATCAAAGTACCCTGCTCGTGCAGCTTCATTGTCTGTGAAACAGATCTTCATAATCCAAACTGAACCAACCCTAATGCAAAAGAACTTTTTTTTCTTTGACTCAAGGGAGAAACTTTCTCTGTGCATGAGGGAAACACCAGTTTATAGCTTTTTAAGGCATATATCAAATGTGTAGGCCTGAAAATGTGTGTAAGATTATGGAAGCGCCTTTTTCCTAAATTTTGAGAAGTTCACTGTTTGCATGGGTCCCTCAGAAGGTGGAAAAGGAGGAGTAAAAAACTTTGTACTGGCAAAAGAGAGTTTAGGCAGTTTCAGTTTTTTTTTTATATAAATATATTTTTAATCGATCCGGTTATGTTGCTAAAAACTGCAGTACTTATGCAGTATTTAAGTGTCCACTTTTAAGACTGTCTCCAAAGGCCCCAGAGACCCTGTTAGCAACCATGTTATAATGCCTGTCTTTAGAGTCTAAATTAACATGTTTAAAGCCGAGGACTAAAATTGTTTTTGGTCAGAAGAAAACTCTTCTCTCTTTTTTTTGTAAACACTGTGCAACAATGTGATTTTTTTTTACAACTTGTTTATTTTGAGGATATTGGGGTCACAAGTTTTGTATAGTTCAGCATAATTACAGACCCGGCTGACTTGACTGACAGATAGGCATGCTGTAGCCGTTAGCATCGAGGCTAAAGGCCCTCCTCAATGCTCCCTCTATGTCTCTTGCAGACTCAACAAAAAGTTACATTGAGTATATTTCTTCAATCTGGAGACCGCCATCATTGGGCTTGAAAACACCATCACAGAAACCAGTGATAGGGACGTCACTGAGACTACTGTGTTTTCAACAGTTTACAGTGTTGCATCATCTACAACATCGTCCCTAACCCTCTTGTTATGGTGAATTTTACCCCAAATCTTCATGAGTTCACTCGGACTCTGACTTTTTTTTTTTTGGATGGTCAAAGTGAAATTCGGTCAGTCATACAGATGAAGATTAATAGTTTTGGTTGTGTGTCTAAAAACCTGATGAACTTTTAAGGGATGAAGAGGGGATATGAGCAAGTTAGATATGAGGTTAACAGATGATTCTTCAAACAGGCACTCAACCATCCACTCTGAGGGCTGTGGACTCTATAATGACAGTGGCAAATGTCATTGTTAGTCAGTTAGTATTCACACCTAAAATTACTATTAGAAATTAATAAAATTAGTATTCAGAACCTAAAATTGTTGTTATCAAAGGAGTATTTGGTGATCACAAACAGAACGCTGCTGCTTTGGAGTCTCACAGTAACCCACAGTGGTTTCAACTGAATATGAAATCATTGCATTACATAACTTGATATTGCCGTCCCGTGTGCGAACTTTGCTTGTTTGAGAATGTTACTTTTCCTTCGATCTGATTCACTGAGCCAACGTTGAATGTGTTTGCTCTGTTCATGATAATGGCCAGTGCATTCTTGCTACATTTGGAGCTTTATGTGAGTGTTTAAAACAGCCAGTGCTCAGATGTCAGCAGACCTCAAGCTGAGGCAGAGCCAGAGCCTTCTGTTCATTTCAATCAAGGCTGTAATCACTCACAAGCAGCAGTGCAGAACAATGAAATCCACAATTACAACCTGGCCTGGAAGAAGTTCACCAGGCTCCAAGATCCTGGACTTTATCACTGACTTTTTGTTCATCCAAGTCCTTTTGTTCATACAAAGGGTTTTTTTTAAGATGCACACACACACACATCTGCTCACATCTGTGGTGTGTTAGCATCATCCCACAGATGTTTGCACATAAACTTCTCTGCTCTCTTCCTTATTGGTCTATCATGGTAACTTAAATATCCTCAGAGTCTCACAAAAATTGTACTGCTGCTCCTTCTACTTGTTGCCTATCTCTACATTTTCATTTCTGTCTTTACTTTTCTGTATGTTGGATCTGTTCGCATGACTTCTTGTTTTCCCCAGAGGCCAGGAGACAAACAGTTTTGACTAATGGAAGCAGAGTTTAAATCATGTACGACTACTTTTAGGCATTTTCGCCTTGTTAGCTTTTGGCTTCACAGTCCAGAAAAGCCCCCCTCCTCTTTTATAAGCAGAAACAGCAGCTTACATCCCAGAAACTGTGGGAAACTGCCTTGGTAAAGGCATGCTACATAAGGTCAAAGTGCAAACAGCCATACCACCAAAGGAATAAGCAGACCCGTCAACATGTTTTTGTTTGTTTGCCTCAGGGTACAAGTGCTTTTCGGGATCAATATCTCAACTGAATGGCCAGGGGAGAAAAATTAGAACACACAAGGTGCTAAGTGGAGGAGGTACCAACCAAATTGAAGAAAACAGGCATAAAGAAACCACAAACTTCAACACAGTGTGGACTTAGTAGTTTTCTGGGTTAAGACTTTACAATTATGAGAAAGAATCTTAGACAGCTGCTGCTGTTCTGCATTGATAACTTTTTGAGACATGACAAATGAGACTACAAACAACTGAATTTCCCTTCTGGGATGATTGATTCGTTACAGTAAAACATTTGCTATTGCTATTAATTGGAGTCAACTGTGAATGAAAATAGTCAGCTAAATGTGAACTTGACTCGCGGTCTGATACGGCAGACTGTCAAAAGTGAGGGACAATTTTTAAGCACTTTTCGTTTCTCTTCAGCCGCTATTTCCTAACAACATGAATCCTCCAGAAATGAAGTTTTTTATGCTGCTGAAAGTCTGAGTACAACAGTACGCTATAGTCTAACGTTACAAAGAACAGAATCTTGGATCTTAAATGAGTCACCTGGACAAAGCCCAACGTCCAACTATCAAAGACAAATCCTGTGTTCATCTTTTATGTGTCAAACCAAAACTGATAAATCTTGATAAAACTGGCACGGTTTTGTTTGAACCACATTACTTATATATCTAGACATAACACTTAAACAGATACAAGCAACAACACCTCAGACTTGATAAGGAACGCAGACATGTAACCCACAGCAGAGCCAGGTTCTTAACCTGCTCAGATATGCAAAATAGGGAGCTGTGGTAGCAGAAGCCTGCTCAGTATTCACATCCACATGATGCGGCATACCTTTAGCACATGGCAGTCTGTACTGAGGTGCCATAAATCCACTGGGTCGCTTTCATCTGAGAGCGGGGCTAAATTGACAACAAATGTTGTCCCTCTTTTCCGCAGCCTCCTTGAGTTTCTGACAAAGTGTTTCCAGAAACTCTGCAAAAAGCGTCACGTCCTGAGGGCTCATATTAATGTTAAGAGATGTTAAATAAGCTCATGTCTGTTTGTATGAAAATACAGCACAGCAACAAACATTCAACTGACTCACATCTTGCACAACAGTCTGTGTCTCTTTTGGTAATTGGATGTAATGTTTGGAAACAGATCTCACAAATAGAAAAACGACTGGTTTGTATAACCCCAGTCCCATGTAGCTCGTGAATACTGACTGAGAAATGAAAAGGGTGTTGTCACTTAAACCTGTTTTATACTGAACCAAAAGGTTTTACCTTCATAATTACAACACAGGCTTTAGTTCAGCCAAGAAGCATTATTCATTACAAGGTTATGAATTAGATTTTCAAATGAGTTAACTTGTTCACTGTCGACCTTTAAGCATGCGCTGATAACAGGATTCAAAACTCTCATATTATACTCTGGCAAGTTTGATCTACAACTGATCTCTGACGAACCTTAATAGAAAATGTAAAATAAATTAAAACAGCCCGGGAAACTCGAAAACTCACACCGGGCTAAAATAAAAGACGTCACAGGCCCAGTCGATGCTTGTGAGCAACAAACAGCTGCTTCACCGGCTTTAACCAGCGAAAACAAAAAGGCACGTGCAAAGTGTTAATTGTTCTCACAAATCCACACAATCAGAGATGAAGATGGGGAAATACGGGAGCATGCAGCAATGCGTGGCGGTAAACCACATTCAAGTACAGCAGCTACAGTCTCTCTTCCACAGTCCAGGGCTCTCCCGGTTCTCACTCTCTCTCTCTTACGGCAAATGTCTGTTCCTAAATCACACAATTACTCTTCATAAATAAGGTACAGGCTTATTATTTCAACGTCAATGCAGACTAAACAGTGTGAAAGCCTACGACAAGGCTAAGCTAAAGGCTAGCGGATAGACTGCATATGTATATGAATTTACCACTGGCAGCCTCTCAAGTTCACACACATCAGGACGACTCTCTGTCAGTCTTGGAAGTTCGGAGTGTTTTCACGTTACTTTTACAGATTACAGCTATTCTGCTCAGATGCCGATAAAGCAGACTCTGCTGTCGCTAACGTTAAACCGCTAAACACTAAGCACCTCCTACTTAAACAAGGTAAGGACAGGATTGACTAAAGATACATACATGCAAAGATGAGAGAGTAAAGAGATGTTCTTTTGTGCCGACAACCGAATATGAATGGATTTTAAAACTAACACCAACCTTTAAACTGTAGAGGAAATGACTGTTTTTTTAAACATTTTATAATCTAACATTTTTAACATATATACACTTCATGAACTATTATTTATTACCAACACAAACATTTTAATATCTGTACATGAATGAATAAAAATAATAGCCACAGGGCTATATTTGTTTTAAAACAGAAAGACTAACAATGAAATACAGCTTGATTTTCTTTTCTTCTGCCTGGAATGAGTAAGGAAAAGTTGAATAATGGTTTTATTTTTGATTTTGATTTCTAAAAGGAAAAATGGAATGTATGTAGCAGAAAACACAAATCGTAAAATGTTTCCAAACGTTATGTCTAATTACCAAACCACAGCGAACTTTATTCTATCCGAACACGACTCCAGTTTTCATTTTCTGTGGATGAATTTAGATCCACAAACAGACTAGTGATACTTTTCAGCTCAATAATAAACACAAGCTAAGAGTGTGGTGGAGTTCTGGGTCAGGAACAGGCCCCAGGTGAGTTGGAGGAACATCTACGGTTAAATGTGGAGCTTGGAAAGTGAGGTCGGTTTCATAGGCCCTGCCAAGCAAATAAACAGTCTGAAGACATCACAGCGGCAAGACTGGATTCAGTGCATTTTTCAGTCCAGCCTCAGGTCCAAAAACTACTTTAAGCAAAGCCTGAGTCCACAGACATGTGGACTGAAATCCTCCAGCAGCTGACCGCAGTCCAACTGTGTTATTTAAGGCTTTGTAAACTCACAGCTTCCAACCGGGCACGAGGTACACTGTCTATTAAGCTATTTTTGTTCTGTGTCGACACTGACTCAGGACAGGTCTTTCGGATAACTTGATTGATGATACTGCATTTAAATAGCATTAAACAGCACACCAGTGCTCAGTAGACTGAGATATAATTCAGCACTCTGTCCTGATTCACAGACCTACAAGTGGAGGTAAAAAGTATGTGGGACAAAGGTGTCGTGAGGGATTTGAGTTTAAGGATTAATCAATCAAGTTTAAAGATCTGATTCTCTACAACCTCAACTTCAAAAAAGTCGAGACGCTGTTAAAAATGTTCATAAAAACAGAATTTAATGTTTTGCAAATCATTTAGACCCTTTATTTGGTGAAAAATAGAGCAAAGTAACTCATCAAATACTGAAACTAGAAGAACATTGAGTTAAATGACCTTCTCTTTTAACACCAAATGTCTGAAACCAAGAAGATCAGTTTAAAAGTGAAATGTCCCATTCTTCTCTGAATGAACAGTTCAGGTTCTCTTTATTGTAGTCTCTGGTTTTTCATACAGCAAATGTTTTCAGTCAGGACTGCAGGCAGGCTAGTGAATGCCAGGACTCTTATTACAGAGCCATGCTGTTGTAATCGCTGCAGAATGTGGTTTGTTATCATCCTGCTGATGATATGAAGGTCTTCCCTGAAAAAGTTGTTTTCTGGATGGCAGCTTATGTCGCTGTTTTTACTGCTTTAACAGTTGTGTGGCCTTTCCAGTAGAAGCTACCAATGCCACGAGGACGAATGCATCTCTATACCATCAGGGGTGCTTACTTTGAAACTGTGCTCTGATAGCAAACCAGATGGCACCAAAACGAAAGTCAAATTTTGATCAGTCAGACCACAGGACAGTTTTCTACCGCACTTCAATTAATCTTAAATGGAAAGTTAGGAAAGCTATCATTGTCTGGAAATCTAAAGATGCAGCAACAAACCGTCGTCACGTATCAATTTTTTTTCAAGTGTTGAAGGAATATTTTTCTAAATCTGTTGAACTCCCAGTCTTTAAAAAAGGTGTGAGCCTTGTTCCTGTCTTTACTTCAGCCTCTTTAAAATGTCATTTATATACCCAGGTAATGTGAACGTATACTTTAACTTGCATAGAACAGTGACAAATAAATACTGGGTATAAATTATATTCAATTAAAGATTGTTTATAGAACAGATGTCATCTGCCTCCTCCCTGGGTGAAGCCTCAGAGTGAACAGCACCCTCTGGTGACGGGCTGCAGTATAGATCATAAATCCCGCCTCCTCCAGCAATCTTAATGAAGCTGTGGACAAACTTAAGAAATTAATGAAACAGAAAATAAATTTTTCTCCCCATTGGTTGTGATGTTGACATGTAGTTATTGTAAGACTGGTTTGTGTTCAAGTCCTCTTTTTTCTCTACAGCTCCATTTTTAAAAGTTATTAGGGGGTTCATGTTTTCTGTGACTGACACTTGATACAGCCTATAGGGTTACAAAGATTACAGTTCACCCGGGGGATATGCTGTTTGAGCCGAGCATCATCACAGTGACTCTCCCGCTAAATGTGTACAACGCTACTACTCAAGTGGTGGTTCCAGGAAATGGAGAAAATCCCAGAGATACTGAGAGCAATTGGACTTCAAATTTGTATAATGACAGAAGGCGGAGCCAAGTTGTCCATAGTTATATACAGTCTATGTATTCAACCTATTAAAATGTGTTTTTATTAACAGTTTATCCATTTTTTTTTGTAATCTGGGTTGTACTATTTGACATTATATGACCTAGCTTGGAGTTGAAGGTGTTAAACTAATCTCATAGTGTAGAGAGTAAATGATCTTGGACTTTGGAGTTTAGCTAAAGCATATTAATGTTACACAACACAGACACACTCACAAAGTTAAATTTAGAAAACCCCAGGCTGTATTGCTGCCAAAGCCTGTAGATATACTAAGGTATATACTGATAAACGCAAACTCTAATATTCATCATCATACAAGGGGGCTCAGTTTCCACCAAAACACAGTTTTCTCCTGCCAGCGAGAGTGGCAGCAGAAGGAGCAGAAATAAGCCAAGAACACTGTGTTCAGACTGCTGCATTACACTCACTGCTACAGATCAGCTCAAAAACAAATTACAGCTTGTTGATGGTTTAATCTTTGCTGTTAGGGCTCATTTCCTCACACAGTTCTCCTCCTGCCAGGGCTCTGCCGCTGTAATGGACATTTTGCCGCCCGTTTGTCATTTGTCATATGTTGTCATTTCTTGGATGAATCCAGTTCATTTTGATCCTGATTTAATGACCCAAATGTTTTGAGGGAATTTCCTGTCTCATATATTTACGTAAACCAAATTTTAATTTCTAATATGGTGCAGTGTGTAAAAACTGGAATATTTTGTGATATGTAGCTGTCAGATTCGGGGTTGAAATGCTTTTTCCTCATCTAACCCAAAAGCACATTTGTTATTTGCGAGTTTGGTGCTACTGAAGACTAGGGTTGGGCATCATTTGAATTTGAACGATTCCAGTTGTCTTGAAACTAGTTACTTTCCCAAGGATCACATAGGAGCAAATATTGTGATTGGTTTAAGGGTAGGGCTGGGTGATAAAACGATGATGATGTATATCAAAAAATAAATTTCCATCGATATGAAACATGGTCAATATGCTTTTCGATAGCCAGCATCCTGCCATGTTTTTGTAGACTATACAAATAGCCAATGAAAAGGGGAGTTGCTCCAGGTCTGCTTTGCACTGAACCAATCGTGCTGAATTAGAACCAAGTATCAAACAACTGCGTAGTAGCAGGTAGCAGCTACACGCAACCATAGCACAGGTATCTTGGTTTTATTCGGTCGGACATTAAGCAGCGTGGTGTGCACTGCAAATTATGTCGACTACATGTTCTCACAAAGTCGGGAATACCTCAAATCTTTTCCCCACATGACGCAGTGCCACGCGGCAAAGCACGCACAATGCAAAAGTTTACAAACCTCAAGCAGATTAAGGAGCCCATGGCGCCTGTGCAGCCGAAACATCTGACCATTCAGTTCGCGTTCTCTAGCGCAAAGCCGTACGACAAAATGTCAAAGAGACACAAAGACCTCACAGATGCAGTAGCGTATTGTACTGCAAAAGACATGCTACCAATAAAAACTATTACATTTCATTTGAGAGCAACAGGGAACATTTAAGATTGGCAATTGATTTTTTACATGGTCATATATATCAATATCGACTGATATGAAAAGATATATATTGATAGACTTTCCCATATGGAGCCCTAATCAAGGGAGTTTCTTGAGTCATGAAATCTACAAGAGGACAAACAAGTGTGTGTGTAACAACAGACAATGGGGCCAATGTTGTCAGACTTTTATGTTTGCGGACATATTCAAAAAATAAAAAACATGGGGAAAAATATCATTGGGGGGGCATTGTTAACTTCTGTCCTGTGAATGTATGGCAAATCTGAATTTGAACACCAATAAAAAAAACGCTGTTGTTTACAAGCAGCAATCACTAATAATATTTTGTCCTGTCATTTTTTTCCACATCGCATAAATATTGTTATCACAAATTGCCTTGAAATATCGTGATATCATTATGAAGCTATATCACCCACCAGTAATATAAACTCTTATGAACTTTACCATGAATTTCTAACAGGGCTATTTTCAACCAGTATATAAATAAAAACCTTTGTTGTCAGGTCGTTTGTCTGTGAAAAAGTACACAGGCCAACGTTAGTCGGACATTCAAGTTGACCCAGATTCTTGCCACCAAGCACTGTGGTGGAACAGGGTGACAGGAGATCCACTTTTAGTCAGGAGCATGCTTTATTGCAGCATGCACAGAGCAGGAAGTAATGATGGGGTGAGAAGTATTTTTATCACTGTCCCTGAGGGAAGCACAAGCTGTGTGTTTCATCAGCAGTTATCATGCAAGCCAGGAATGCCGAACTGCTGTTTCTTCACCGGGACTCTTGGGAGTCCTGCAGAGCACTGCGCAGGATTTCAGCTCAACATTGTCCACATGGTCCCAGCGAGGCTCAGCAGAGGCTACAGAGGGCACAGTGAGGGAGATAAATCCAACTGTGTCAACATAAGAGAAAAACTGATATGACCGCTGATCGAGGACATACAGGGGATCCTTTTCGGTGACCTAGGCAGCTAAGAAACGTGAATGACCAAGATTCACAAACACATTTATGAAAAACTGAACACACATCTGGGAGCAGACTGCCTTTGTTTTTAGCTGGTGATTTTGCGCTGAATAAGATATGAGTGTACATGTACCTGTCTATAATGATGAATGAAAAAACCTAACTTGGTCTGATTACATGTCAACTTGATTACATGAGACCAATAGGCTATTATAATGGTAAGACGACACATAGAGACAGTCAAAATACCTAATTAATAACTAATTTATTCCTTTATTTCTCTTCTTTATTGACTATCTGACTTTTATTTCCTCTTATGTTGTCTTCTGCAGCTAAACAATGTCCGGTGGTTTGCGGAGTGTGGTGAAAACCTGCAGATCTCACATCACCAGCCTTTGGTCCTCTGTGCAGGTGTGCGACCACATTCCTGTGCTTGTTATACATCGCTCCAGACAAGTGACCGTGTGCCAGTTTAACCACAGCCTACATAAACTTTATCTCCATCTGGATCAAAATATTAACAAAACAAGATGCCATCTATCATCTCTGTTCACATCCAAGCAGAGCATTTTGGCATTTTGTCAGTAGCACCAGCTGGTGGTGAGTGTCTGCACTACAGCTGAGACAAAATGTTGGACCTGCAGTCATAAAACTATCAATAATTCGTGGGGCTTTCAAAGGTTTTGGGTTAATAATGTCGCATTAATGCAAATACATTCCATAATCTTAATTATGCAGCATAAATGTCTCTGATATGAGCCTAGGTTTAAAGGCTATATTTAATGTGATGTAACTGTAGTACCAACTAGAAACACTAGACGGGGGTGATTATAAGACTACATTGATCCAAACCCCCTCTTCAGCCAGTGAACACCTGTGGAGTGGACATCGAAGTGGTGACATCATGTAAATACCTAGATGTACATCTGGATAATAAGTTGGACCGGTCTAAGAATATAGACTTCATCTACAGAAAGGGGCAGAGCCGCCTCTTTTGTCTGAGAAGACTCCGATCAATAGACATCTGTAGTAAGATGCTGCAGATGTTTTATCAGTCTGCTGGGAGGGCAGTATCAAACACAAAGATGCAAGACGTCTGAACAAACTGGTGAAAAAGGCTGGCTCTGTGGTTGGACTCAAGCTGGACTCAGTGGAGGATGTGGTGGAGAGATCTACACTGAGGAAGGTGGAGTCTATTCTAAAGAACATGGATCACCCACAACACCTTGATGGACCAAAGGACCAATGGTGGTGGACGGCTCCTCTCTCTTCGCTGCAGGACAGAAAGATTCAGAAGATCTTTTGTACCAACAGACATCAGACTTTATAATTCCTCTGTAACTAGTAGATGATTTGAGACATGACACATGAGACGACAGACAGTTGAATTTCCCTTCAGGGATTAATAAAGTTCTTCTTATCTAATTACACCTGCACAAAGACCTTCTCCAATAATGTGTCTTTTTTGTTGCCTGGCTCATGTAAAAGTCTTTTCCTCTTGAACTTATTCCCTCATCAGATTTAGAAACTGATTCTTTGGCTTAGCTCTTCAACAATAAGTGAATGTCTGTGACGTGACCGTCCTTCTCCTTTCAAAGTTTCTGATTTCTTCTGCTCTTTGATTCTTCTCTACTCTTTCAGAGATTTCAGCCAGCCTTGATTTTTTTAGGCTCCCCTTCAACAGACCCTTCAAAACTTCTGATGATGAGGCAGACGACTCGAAGGTAAAATTTTCTCTCTGATAATAACACATGAAAAAACTGTTATTTCTTGTTAATCTCATGCACAGTGCAACAGAATAGATATATGGATTTACAGTGCAGCAGAGACTTATGGCACCAAACAGCTGGAAAGGCTTGTCACTATGATGGGTGTGTGTGTGTGTGTGAAGGGAAACACCTGTTTAGTAATGAGAGAGGGACTTTGCATCAGTCATGTGACCTGCTGGCTGCCAATAAGGTGGCTGACACACATGTTCGGTGTGTCTCCAAGTCTTCCCCCTTGGGGAGGTTGGCTTAGGCTACATGTGGGAATAAATGTGTGTGAACTGGAAATCAAGCTTAGTTTTATGACAACATAAATCATGAAGGCTTGGCTCAACATCAGAGAAAAATTAGATTGTCACAATGAAGTTTTTTTTCAAGCAGCCTTCACACCCTGATTATATAACACTGTGGAACACTGACACAGGGCCCTGTCCTCGCAGGAACAAAAAGTGAGGTTTCTCATGATGGCAGATGGTGAAGACCAAGTCAGGCACAGGATGGAATTTAGCACTGTTTTAAATAAGTTTGGATTTTAATTTTAGAAAAACCGAAGTCATTACTGTCACTTTCCATACATAACGTACATACATAAGATGGCGTACGCTAACAGACAGTGTGACACGGTCAGTCGTTCACTATAGTAGAAAACCAGCGTTTCAAGAAAAGCTCTACACATTTGATAAGCAGAATGACCCACCAGGCAAAACATACATCTCCAAGACTGCAATACTGAGACTGTACAACAACATGAAGGATGACGTTCTCAAGGAGTTAAGTGAGGTTGATTTTTACTTTCTTGATGTTCAAAAAGTTCTTAAATTGCTCTTATTCATTAAGGTGTCTGACAAATAATAATCTCCAGAATTCCTAATCGTGACAGCCCTACACATCCTTTCAAAGTAAAACCATGTAAGTGTCCGATCACCCTTTAACGCAATAAAAATAAGCAAATGAAAGATTTTTAAAATCAAGAATGATTAAAAAAGCACACACAAATGAACCCTGTGATTCCTCCATGTCACAGAGTTTGATTTCTTCCCATTTAAGTAAAAACTGATTTTTCAGGTTTGGCTCTTTGGAAGTCCTTGTTTTCACCCCTCCTCCTCCTCCTCTCTGTCTCCGTTGCCCTTGGATCTCCTGTTAGATGGGATTACGTAAGTCTTTGGTCTGAACCCCCTGGCAGCGTCCTAGAGTTTTTATTAACTGGGCTGTATATTCTGTTTATACTGTGTGACTGTCCCAGCGCCCGGCACCAAGGTGAACATGGCTGCAAAGTCCTGGGATGCCAACACACGTTGGGAGCACATGTCTTACACTTAAAGTCTCGAAAATAAAGCTTTCTTTTTCTCATGCATGTAAATCCACCTCCTGGTGTGCCCGTCTACACTGACTTTTCACCATTTGGCTGTGTGAGAGTTTTTTAAACGCGGTAATTAACAGGCTGGTAGGGTTTATTCACCTGCTGTGGAGAAAATGGAAACGAGTTATCAGAGAAAGTTTCCTCTCAGGCAGATTTGAAATTAGACGGATTATGAACCAAAGTGAAGGAAACGCTGAAAAATCATGTTGGTATTAAAGTTTAATAATTTAAGATTTTCTTTGAAGGCTGAAGAAAGTTAATTAAACCCTGAAGTGTGAGACAGAGCGTGTGTCTGTGCGTGTTTGGTTGGGGTTGCAGGTGTCTCGGTTTATTCCAGGAAAGCTGATGGAGGACACGGTGTGCACAGAGTGTATTTATAGGCAGTGAATCTCCAGCAGTGTGGAGCCGGACTTCGGTGTGAAAATACACACAGATGCCTGGATACACACCAGCGAGCCCACTGCAGATCTCTCAGCCAATCAGGATGGAAACACACACAAGCACATGGTGTCATTATGATCTGAATGATGGATATGTTGAGCTGCTGTCCACACTGCAGAGTACAGAGGATCCTCCTCAGTGCCAGCACGCTGCTGTATACACAGCAAACACATTTAAATATACCAGGGGTCAGGGAGGAGGAAGGGGGGGTTGAAGTGTTACATTCATTCATTCATTCATCCACGGAAGTGAACACACAGATGACTTATTTCACAAGATCTGCCAAATATTTGTTGACCTCCTTTTTATAGAGCTGTAAATTAACTTTGAGACTAGCAACATTTAGCTTCAGTTCATCGATCTAACTTTAAAAAGAAGCATTAATGAGACAGTTTTTACAGTTCCTCTGAACGTCCTGTTCAGAACACTCTGTAAGTTATTGCTTCACAGCAGAGGACTATAGTTTTTTTTAATGTTGGTTACCACTCGCCATAAAACAGAGGAGAGGCGCAGAAGCAATAACTCTCGGAGGGGTGATAAAACATTTTAAATACTAAATATTTGAAGATTAAAGTTTGAGCCTCTATGATTAAATATTCATGTTTTTGTTCGTTTGACAGTTTTCACTCAGTACTACATCATAATATAAAATCATAGTTGTACAATTTTGAAATTGAATGGCAGAAAGGATATCAAAATAAAAGCATAACAAACTGAGCTGGTCTTACATTTGAATATCATAAGAGACGGATGATAACACGAAGGCTCATTATGTTCATTAGTTCAGATTTTGAAATAATATTTTGCTCCATCCTTTTCTTTCTTTTCTCAGTGTGACTGATTTTGTTCAGTTTTCCATAATCCATGATAGTTTATGGTCACGTGAGGTGAAAACCTGATATTGTGACAGCCCTTGCGGCAAGAATAGTAGAAGATCCAAAACTTTCCATAAACAACTCAGACAGCTTTTTATTGCCCTATTCTCCACCAAACTCCACACCCTCAGCAATCTGTGCAGGAATCATGTCATAAATTTACCCTGGAGCTGAAGCCTCTGTCACCGTAATGATACGATCAGGGTCAAAACAGCTCATTGGCAGTATCCAGAAAACAGTTCAGAGCTTTTCAGAGGGAGCTATGACATTTTGAAACATTCTAGCCAAACTTTGGCCTGTTTTTATTCACTTCATTAACTGACATTAACTTCATTTCAAAATGACACATGTTTTAAAGTCCAGAAAATAAAACAACCTGAATCCAAGTCTGTCAAAACAAAAGCAAGTCTTTAACAAGGCAAACCCTCACTTTGAACATCAGTAGAAATGGATGGTCACATGTACGTAAGCTGGTTGCATGTATTTAGAGTATTTTTGGAGTTATGTGTTGCTCCTCCCTTGTCTTGCCTTTTTTTAATGTGACTGTTTGTTTTCACAATTTTTCCATAAATGTTAAATTAAAGGTCCCATGGCATGCCAATTTCACACAACTTAAAATAGTCCCCTGGTGTGTTAAAAGCATGTCTGTGACGTCCTTCGGTCAAAATTCGATCTGGATCAATTATTTTAGTGCTCTTTTTATCAGCTAAAAACAGCTCCGCTCAAAATCCTCCGTTTTGGGCCATGTCTCTTAAATGAAATGAGCTGCACCTAAGCCACGTCCACTTTACACCCATCTCTCTGGAAGGGGCTGTGGTTGTGCTCCGTTAGCCATGTGCTAATGTTTACAGAAGATCGCTAGTACAACCCTACCAGTTTGAGCCAGAGTCTGACCCAGAGGGAGAGGCTCCGGAAGAAACTCTTAGCCGCGTTCAGACCAAACGCGACTTGAAGCGACCTAGTCGACACATCCTATGTATTATTCAAAGCCGCCAGGAGGGTCACGCTTAGCCGGGACGGCCCGTATTCGAGCCACAAGAGGCGCGTCGCTGCACGGGTAAATGCTAAAGCTACATGCTGCTCCGGAGGGGGATTTTGTCCGCCGCCGCCGGAAGTTGTCGGGGAAGAAGCGAGCGGCTAAAATACAGGAGGATCCGGTAAACCGGCGCGGATCCGGTGTGTTTATCAAAGCGTGACGGCCGTGCTGAGGCACCGGGGGGAATTTAGGCTAAACAGTAAGTCAAAATAAAACGTTCATACTTACAGATGCCACGTTTGTAGTAGGATCACGGATAGTTGGTACGGATCCATTCTTTATCTTCAGACATCTATCAAATCCAGCGTTGAACTGTCCCTCGTTGATAAAACAGTCCGAAGTGAAATGGTGCACACATACGTACAGATATTTTGGAAGTGCCGCGGGTACATTCCCTTTATAAATAAAATCCACCCATTGAGTCCTCAAATCCTCAGAGGAGGGAGTTTCCAAAAGAGTTTTGTGCTCGTTTGTTCAGCCAACAACAGAGCAAACGCTGCCTCTTTTTCAGATCGTACTTCCGCCATGGTTCTAACCGGAGCTACGCGAGCGAGCGGCCGGAAGTAATGGCGGTGTTTAGATCATTTTTTGGACAGGGCAGTGGGTTGCTCCGTGGGCAGTGGGCAGTACCATCAACCCGCCAGCACTGACATGACGTCATGTCAGTGGAGTTTTCAGAACCGAGCACACAGTTCCTAAATACGGAGATAACTAAAATACGACTGGATGGATTTTTTTCGAACTTGGGGGGATTGTAGCGGTTTTCTATCCCTGATATGCACCCCCCTCCTGTTAACAAAGTCGGTTTTTCATGCCATGGACCCTTTAATATCGTTACAATGGGTTGGCTGTGATAATCATGTGGGGAAATTTACAGCCATATTGTGGATGCAACTTTAAAGTCTCCTCCTTGGATCATCCTCAGAAGCTTTATTATTTTTTTCAATCTGTTCTGTGTGAGGAAATAATTTTGCCACAAATCTGGTGGGTTGATTTCCACCACTGTTCCCCCTCGCTGACCTCTTCTTCATTCATCATGACTTGGTGTCCTCTGTATGGTTATGGCATTTGCTATTTCAGGTATCTAAAAACCTGAGCAGATACGACCCCACAAAACCATCTTCTTTTAAAGTGTGCTGATCCCTGAGTAGTCGTAGCTGGACAGCTGTTGAAGTGCTGTCTGAACCCACGATGTCAGGCCTCATGGGCAGCTGGTTTGTGGTAGGGTGCTGCCCCCTTGAGTATGCAAACAGAAAGACAAAATCATGACAGAGGTAGAGTTTTCCCACCTCGATTTGAAACAGTTTCGCATGATTCGGACCCCTTGTCTCACACAGAACTAAAACAGTATCCTCCAAAAATGTCAAGCAGATTGGAAATTTGTAGAGAAAGCAAAGAGAAACACACACACACACACACACACACACACACACACACACACACACACACACACACACACACACTCTGAAACAGCCAGATCCCGATCACAGCGTCTGCAGAGCTGGTCTGACGATCAGCTCACTGAGAGGATCATTAACAAAAACAAGAGATAACACAAGACCAGAGACAACCAGTTCAGACTTCACTATACACACACTCTGTTACACACACACACACACATATGTGACGCAAGGGAGTGCAGGAGGAGCACACCAAAGCTGAGGCAGAAGAGTATTGAAGGATTTCTGAAGAGTTGCTTAGAAGTAGAAGAATTTTGATTTTTCTGGGTCAGTCCAGTAAAGATCAAGTCCAGACCTTAACACAGACTTTTTCTCCTTTTTTTACTGTAAACATTCAGAGAGATCAGCTGAATGTAACTGCACTTTAATCTGACAAAGAGCTCCAAGTGTGCACAGTCTACTGAAAGAGCAAACACCACTCCCTCAGTCATTGTAGGGTCGCTGTGAAGAAACATGACTATAACTCTCACTGGAAAAAAACTCAGAGTACGTCACTGTGGATAAGACAAGACACAGTAAAGAGACGTTCAGATGAAATCTTTCTGTCAAAGCACACATGCTGCTTATTGCTGCTGTGAGGAGTTTGTTGATCTTAATGCAAAAGACTGAAATTCATACTTCCTGTAATTTTGATGCCTAAATGTGATGTGAGAGGATCAGAGTCAGTGGGGCAGCTGAAAAAAAATCTTACCTTACATTTTCCACATTCAAGTTTTACAAAGAAACTATACATTTGACAGCCAAACTGAACAAAACTGAACTGACTCTATTCACAAAGACCCAACAATGGGATGAGACTTAGCCTAAGATCAGACCCACTTCATCCCATCTTCAACCACATAAGTGAAACACTTAACACCATTTATCAAGTTACAGTGGAGAGGAAGAACTCCCTTTAACAGGCAGAAACCTCAAGCAGAACCAGAGTCATGTTAGACAGTCATCTGCTGAGACTAAGCTGGGTTTAGAGAGGGATGGACAGAGGAGAGGCTAATAGAGGGACACGGAGAAAGAGAGAGAGACGGACAGAGAGGAAAGACAGATGCTGATAGTGGAAGCAGCTAGACAGCAATCAAGTCCACAGCAGCAGATGTCTTCAGCAGTGATCCAGAAGAACCCATGGGATGATAGAGCTCAGGGACTCCGAGGAAAGACTTTGTTAGTGACTCTAATGGGACACAAACTACTTTACAGGACTTTGAAAAAGACAGCTGGGGTATAATGCTCAGTGTGAAAAAGTAAAGTCAGGACAAATGACAGACTGGTAAAAAATGATCTGATCTAAACTCTAAATGATCTCATGAACAGACTTTTCTCCTTCCTTGCTGAATAGGAGGTTTGCATTTTTCAGCTTTGTTGTTTTGCTGCCATTTGTTGGATGGCAGACTTTGACCTTCCTGTCCTCTAACAGGAATAACAACACAAACAACAAACCTTATCTGCTCCTAGGTCAACTCATATTATTGCTCTCTGGATGAATATGAGGATTGTTTCCCAGATTTCTGAGCTGGGATTCGTCCTCTTATGGTGTCAGTCACCTTTTTTTTTTAAACAACTTCACTGTTGTTTGTATTGTGGTGGATGAGAAGTTATGTAACTGTTTCCTTCACTGCACGTGTGAGATTAGTAATCGATAACTCATGTGACTGATCACCAAACAGTCAGAGAGGTAATGGTCACGGGTGCTTCAGTTTTCGCTCACTCTGATCTCAGGTTAACAATGAACCTGTTCGTTTATGGCTGCTGAATGACTGAAAGTGGCTCCTTATCTTTGCTTCATTGTGAAATATACTTTTATGTCCGGGCTTTTGTTACGCAAGTTCAAAACAAACTGTAGTCAGCATGAAGACTCGATCACTAACTCTGGATAAGGACTTAACTATGGTCATGATTTCATGGAGGTCATGTACCCCCTTAAAACAACACCTGCCTTTATCAGAAGTCTTTGCTTTTTCAAACTGCACATATTTGGCCTTTGTGAATTTTAAATATTTTTTTTTCCATATTCCCAAATGATTTCACAGAGATGCTGTTTCACTCTGGTCTTATCGGAGAGAAAATAAAGACTTTTTTTAATCCCATAAATCAATAAATTAGCCAATGATTAAGTCTGGCGTGCTATCTGTGTACAGCAACCACTGCAGCTGCACACACTCAAAGTGCAGCTTGTCTTAAAGCAGGTCACAATAGAAGACTGAAACACAGGCTGCAGTTTAATTGGACTGATTTATTGTGCCAACATTAGCAGCCATTAAGCCAGAGGTCAGTGAACCGAATGGCTTTATCCGCATCATAAAAAGGGGTGTGTGTTTGTTGAAGACAAATTAAGTTTAAATGTGTTTGTTTATCATGTTTTTGTTCAAAGTATCACAATCTCCTGCCTCATAAGTTCATCTGTATTTAACCCATCTATCAAACAGAATATTTGGGTTATATTCACTCAATTTACTGCATTTCTCCCTCTGTCCTATCACTCAGACTACAGGCTGCTGTGTGATATATATTGTGATAAATAGTCTGTTTGTTATGTTGCAACATGACTGTGTGTGTATCTTAGGTGTGTTTTTATTGGGTACATTGCTTTTTCGTCGTTTGACCTCCATTACAATGAAGTTAATCAATCATTAATTCAATCAGACAATGCATGAAGGGTGTATCATTAATTCATTAAGCTCATCATTAACCAGATTTAAGATACTGTGGCTCTCGCCCTTTGTATGAGTATCCAAAACTTTTACTATGAACTGAATAATGCAGGGCATTCATTAAATCCTTCACCTTTTATACATGTCTTGTATAAGTCTTATCCTGTGTTGTGTATTTTTTAAATACTCATTTAATTTCCTGATCAACCCGCTGAGCTGTTCTTCATGGGGGGTAACAGCCATTCCGACATCCCGCCATTGGTCTCTAGTTGTTGGAGTGGTGGTATGTTACCATGCTATCAAATGTCCCCTCATTCCGACAGCTCTCGTCTGCTATGGTCGCCGCTGAGCCCTCTGCGCGGGTTACGCATTGAGACTGTCGGCAATTTTCTGCCAGCATTCCTTACATGCGTGCACGTACTCATAGCAAAACTGGATCCACTTACGAGGTTGATAACCAGCGTCGTAAGACTGTTTATCGAGACCGCTGGCTACCGCGCTAAGTTGAGCTAAGTAGCTCCAAGGCTACCTCGCTAGGTTGAACTTGCTTCGTAGAATAAGCCCCTAAATTGAACTGCATTCCTACAGCAGGCAGTGCAACCTAGTGCCTGCATGACTTTTACATTTGGAACAATTTATTTTGTTTTTATCACTCAGAGCTTTATAAATGTATTAACGCTGCATTTTCGAGTTTTAATTGATTAGTTGGTTGACACAGAGTGGTCATGGGGAGCAAAAGGTCACAGTTACACAGAAGGCTTCTCAAACATTATTTGACTCCTGTTCAGATTTTTCAGTCTGTCAGTCACACTAACAGGACTTTTCTATAAGTCAGGATCCTATAGAGAAACAACCATTTGTTCACCGTCTAATCTTGATGTAAAAGTCAGTGTGATTTATCACTGTTGACAGTCTAGCCTTCCGGCTCGTTGATCTCATTCAAAGCTCAGCTGATAGGCCGCCCCCCCCCCTGCGCTGCCTCTCGGCCCGTCCTGACCAATCAGCTGTCTTTATTTGAGTGTTATGTAATTGGGTGAGCAGCATGTGTGTCTGCTGGGAGGAAATTAAAAGCAACGGTCTCTGTGCGATCTCTCTTTCCAGGCAAGCAGAGGAGCTGAGGGGTCTGCAGGCGGGGGTGAGAACTCAGACTTTACTTTGACTCTTCTCTTATATAATCACGTGCATGACTCTTTTAAAGGTTTACAATCAAAGGACGGTTTCATCGCATACATGCTGCAGAGAAAGTTCAGCATGTTTTCACTGCGGTGCTGGTTGTATTTGTGACACATCTCATGATTATTTTCGTATTAAGGCTGTAAATGACTCCGAACAGCGTGGTTATAATCACGTGTGACAATTAATGACATTTTGTGCTCAAATTTAAGACGCTTTCCTATTTGAGTGTGAACGTAGTCCCGTGAAAGAGCTGTCAACTTCTCCAACTCCTCTGTACTTTTCATTGGTCAACGCTGAAGGCATGAACGAATTTGGGGGCTTTGATTGGTTTGTTTGTGCTCGCCAGGACAACAGGACCCGCCCCCTTCTGCCCAGGGTCACCGAACAGTCAAACAGACAGTCAGGATTACAGAGCACTTTTTTAGGTTCACACTTACTGTGATGATATGATCTTTTAATGCTGGCTGTGGACTCATAAAAACAGAGTAGACAAACTAAAGACAGTTTTGAACATTCACAACAGTATTCTCTCCTGTCTATGTCTGATTAAAAAGTTAAAATGCACATGAAAACTAATTCTGGCAGACATTGTAGCTTGGCTGGTCTGTTAGAAATACAAAATCTGCACAGATACACAATTGGAACCTTCAACCTGTATGTTGAAATGACCAAAGATCTGCCCACCCTGCTCTTTGGACCTAGTCTTACCACTGACTCTGAAATGTTGACGTCAAGTGTGAGTGAGCTAAAGTAATCTCTATCACCACAAAGCTTTTTTCACAAAACTCCTGTACATATGCAAATACAGCAGCACAGGCAGGCTGTGTCCTGTCTGGATATTGCTGAGCATATTTCGGTGTCAGTGAAATGACTGATGGTAGTGGTCTCTCTGAGCTGTAAATGTGCTTTAGCCACAGAAGAGCTGGGACTAAATTTCAGTTATTCAAGGTTGCACACATCAACTTGACTCATGTGGGAGCCAGTTTAAAAACACGTGTTTTACTCAACAAAGAGTACCTTCATTATTTAATATGTGATATACTACTTAATACTGTCATGGCTTGAACTAATCCCTAACATATTTCCATGTTCTCCCGGTGTCCTCTCCAGAACACATCGAGGTGTGAGGATGAAGATTGCTGTGATTGGTCAGAGTCTGTTCGGCCAAGAGGTCTACAAGGAGCTGAGGAAGGAGGGCCACACTGTCGTAGGTGTCTTCACTATTCCTGACAAGGATGGCAAAGCTGACCCACTGGGTGAGGAATTAACTGAAGTGGAAGATTCAGACTTATGCTGTCTCTGAACAGGACATGAGTGTAGCACCAGTGGGACAGCTGTGACGGAGGGTGGGAACAACTTTTAGCACTCCCCTTGACGTCAAGCTAAAGATGAAAGTGGTTGTTTCCAAGTCTTAAGGTTCATTTTATATGGAGCATTCACTGCTAAATAAAGTATATTTGGGATAATCATTAACCTCAAATCTCAAGTTGAGAAGAATATTGGATTTCTATGTAACATTAACCTTGTTAGCACATGAGCTAACATTAGCGTGGAAATTGGTTTCAGTTCTCCTTTAATGGTAACAGGCCACTAATATTAGAGCATCCAAGGACTGAATCATCTTCAGTGTGTGTTTACTACATGTTTTGGTTTCCTGTTAGTTTGGAGTAAATGTATGTCCATCCATACACATATGGGGGTCGGCTAGTCTGAGCCTGTTTATTACTTATTTAAGTAACACCTGGGGCCTGTTCTACGAAGCAGGATTACTGCTTAGCGAGGTAACTTCGAGGGTAAATTCGGGGTTTCCTGTTTTACGACGCGGGTTCACTTCTAAGCGGGGCGAGTCTCCATGGCAACGTACGCTGAACGACTAACCTGCTCCAGGTTAGGTTCCAGATTGAACTCACCGAGTATAGAAACCCCGCCCACTGACCAATAAGGTCTCTCGAATAATAGAAAAGCTGGATCCACTTACGAGGTTGATAACCAGCGTTGTAAGACCGTTTAGCGAGACCGCTGGCTAACGGGCTAAGTTGATCAAGGGAGCTCCAAGGCTACCTCGCCAGGTTGAACTTGCTTCGTAGAATAGGCCCCTGGACAGTGAGTGACCTCACATCTTTGGACAGACCCTTCCCACCATGTTAAAACCAACTTGCTGGCCAAGATTTGAGGTTATCGTGTCTAAAGGTATTATCTCTAAAGATCCTACTGTTTGCAAAAAGAGTTTAATGGTGTTATAAATCAACATACAGATTCACTGAACTCAAACAAACTTCAGGTAATCAAAGTGAATCAGTAACCATTTATTGAACCTGTCTTTGTCAAAGCTGTAAATAAATAAAAATCCCATTAATGCTTTTTCATGATACTCACAAGCTAAAAAGATCATCAGGGACAAGATTGACAATATGCAAAAACGCCCCTTTTGTATGATTTTCACATAAAATAATTACAATTAACATTTGCAAAGTTAAAAGACCCTTCTTAGGCAATTCGAGCACGAGGTAAGCAAGGACTGCTTTGTCTACAGGGGGCGCCAAAATTGCCCCAACCCAACAGTAATTTTTATATTTAGCTAGAGCTTCTTTTTGAAGTAGTCTTTTCAAGGGCAAACTGTGAGAGTTCAACTTTTATTTTTCCTGCAGCTACTGAGGCAGAGAAAGACGGTGTCCCAGTCTTCAAGTTCCCCCGCTGGCGTGTTAAGGGTCAGGCCATCCCAGAGGTGGTAGCTGAGTACAAAGCCACCGGTGCTGAGCTCAACGTTCTGCCTTTCTGCTCCCAATTCATCCCCATGGAAGTTATCGACCACCCCAAACACGGCTCCATCATCTACCACCCCTCCCTGCTGCCTCGCCACAGAGGGGCCTCCGCTATCAACTGGTGAGTGACAAACACCAGAGAGGTGGAAACATGGCATCAAGCCCAGTCTCTCACCTGTCGTCTCTGACACTTACAGGACTCTGATCCACGGGGACAAGAAGGGTGGGTTCACAGTGTTCTGGGCTGATGACGGACTGGACACTGGACCAATCCTGCTGCAGAGAGAGTGTGACGTTGAGCCCAATGACACCGTCAACAGCATCTACAAGAGGTTTCTGTTTCCTGAGGGAGTCAAAGGCACAGTGAGTGTTGAGAAAATACTGCTGATGTTCAAGCTAGTTGATAGAATCAAAGTAAGAGTAGGAATGAATATCAGAAACATCTAATTTTTTTTATAATGTATGTAAGGGACTGTCTTCAAACATATATGCACACATACATACTAGGGCTGGGAGGTATGGGAAAAAGTTTATCATGATGTATTTTTCTCATATCAGTTGATATTGATATATATCACGATATACAAAAATCACTTGTTAATCTTAAATGTTACCTGTTGCTCTTATATGAAATGAAATAGTGCTTATTGGTAGCATGTCTTTTGCAGTACAGTAAGCTACTGCATCTGTGAGGTCTTTGTGTCTCTTTGACATTTTGTCGTAAGGCGTTGCGCTAGAGCAGTGGTTCTCAAGTCCAGTCCTCGAGGCCCCCCGTCCTGCATGTTTTGGATGTTTCCCTGCTCCAACACACCTGATTTAAATAATTAGCTCTGTAATGAAGCCATTACAGAGCTTGATAACGAGCTGATCATTTCAACATGCAGGACAGTGGGCCTCGAGGACTGGACTTGAGAACCACTGCACTAGAGAAAGCAGACTGAATGGTCAGCTGTTTCAGCTGCACAGGCGCCATGGGCTCCTTGGCTGTGTCTGAAATGGATCCCTAACCCCTATATCGGTGACTACATGGGGGTTAGCGCCATTTTTGAGGGGTGTCTGAAACCTCAGTGATCAATTCCAGTGCCCAATATAGGTGACTCAAAATTTCCCATAAAGCATTGCAAAATGTAGTGACCATCCGATGGTCACTGAACTGTCATGCATTGCATCTTGCCATGTAGTGTCCGAAACCTCCTATAATTGAGTTCACTACACAGTTACTTATATAGTAAAACCGCATATGGGGGTCAGGGGTTAGGGATTGAGTGATTCATTTTCGGACACAGCCCTTGCTCGGCTTGGGGTTTGTAAACTTTTGCATTGTGCGTGCTCTGCCGCGTGGCACTGCCTCAGGTGCTGAAAAAGATTTGAGGTATTCCCGATTTTTCGAAACACATACTCGGCATAATTTGCAGTGCACGCTACGCTGCTTTATGTCCAACCTCAAAAAAACAAAATACCTCCACACCACCAACGTTCTTGTGTTAGTGTTGTGAACGATGCCGTCATCTGTTGAGCCTTCATCTACATTCATTTTTTCTTTGAGTGCTATGGTTGCGTGTAGCTGCATCCTGCTACTACACAGTTGTTTGCTACTTGGTTCTAATTCAGCACATGATTGGTTCAGTGCGAAGTGGACCTGGAGCAACTCCTCTTTTCATTGGCTATTTGTATAGTCTACCAAAACATGGCAGAATGCTGGCTATCGAAAAGCATATTGACCGTATTTTATACTGATATTGAGGGAAATTAATTTTCGATACATATCGTTATCGTTTTATCGCCCAGCCCTATGTGCAACATTACAGTAAATGACCAAATTTGCTCATGCACTACAGTCAGTGTTGCATTTACATCTTAAATTTCCCTCTTGAAGACAAAGTTTAAGTTTCTGCTTAGCTTAACGAGAGGGGAGAATAACAGAGCAATGTGTTCTGAAGACTGAGGTTGGCTTTGGTTTGCCAGTCTCAGCAGTAAAGAAGCACTCACAATGTTATCTTTGAAACAGTGTTTGAAAACTGATTTGACTGAAGAAAAGCCTCACTGATAATCACCTGTGAGCTCTGCAGGTTTGTTCATGACCCCCAGGGTTTGTTTGTTTAGGTCTCTTTGGAGGGAATGAACTTTTGGTCACTATTTCTACTTGGACCTGCTTCGGTTACACTTTAACCACCAATGTTTTGTAGTAAAGGTCACACGCTATGATTCAACAAGTTATTAGATGAGTCTGTCTTTCAGGTGAATTTCTAATGTAGGTAAAGAAAAAAAGCAAGGAACTAAATGATAGTCTCTGTGGTCTGTCTGCCTGCAGTCAGCTTCCTCTCTTTGGTTTTCCATCATTACAAACACACTTCACAGATGTTGTCTTACACTGCATCGCTCTGATTCCAGGTGGACGCGGTGAGGCTGATCGCAGAAGGAAAAGCCCCAAGGATCACGCAGCCAGAGGAGGGAGCGACGTACGAGTGCATTCAGAAAAAAGACAACTCAAAGGTAACAGAGAGGGACATCCAGAGACGTTTAGTGGCCCTTCATTACTTAGTGGGACACATGAAGCAAGAATCTGTATTTTTTTACTGCATGATATTTGCATGTTCCAATGACTGTATTTCTTCTAAAGCCATAATAAGATCAGATTTCTTTGTCTGTGTAGATTGACTGGAATCAGACTGCCGAGGCCATCCACAACTGGATCAGAGGAAATGACAAAGTCCCTGGTGCCTGGGCAGATATTGACGGACAGGTATTAGCTCACTCTGTATTTGCTAACAGCAGCTCTCTTTAATATGAGATGAGAAAACTGTGTGTGATAATCGGGGATTAGCAGCAGAGACCAAAAGAGTGACGTTGAGGAGTTAACTGCTGCTGTGACACAAGAACACACAGAGCAACCATAGCTGCTGCTGAATTCCTCTCAGTGTCGTGTTTTGGTTTTTGTCCCTCCTCCTGTAGAAGGTGACTTTCTTTGGCTCCAGCCTGGTGGACAATGGCACAGCAGCAAATGGTCAGCCCCTGGAAATCCCCGGAGCCAGCAGACCCGGCATCGTCACCAAGGCGGGGCTTGTGCTTTTTGGCAACGATGGAAAGACGGTAAGTTAAGAGAAATGAAAAGGGAGACTTCTCTGCCTCCTCACTAAGATACATCTTTAATGATATTCTAATAAATGATGGAAGGTGAAAAGTGTGCTATTTAAGGAGCCTCTAATAACTTATTAACCTAACCACTCTTCATAACGTCTCTGTCACAATAAATATATGTCTTGAAAGCCTAAATTTTTATTAAAAATAAGGTATAAATCTACCCTGTGTAACTGATGCATGAAAGCATGTGTCTGCAAACCGTTACAAAAGCAGTTTAGAGCTCCTGATTTAGGCACCCAGGTCATGTCCGTACAACACAAACGAGTCCCAACTGCACAAACCAGGAAACCTGAAATCGATCCTTCATTTCCTAAAGCCTGTGTCGGAGTTAAATATTTCTCTGCTGTCCAATTTTTTTTTACTTTTGTAGAAAAACATGGAGGTTTGCTGTAAAAGGTAAAACAAAATTTCAGATTAGATTTACGTTGTGGTCCTTTTCCTCATGACTATATGTGAGCAGAGTTAAAAGTTGATCCAGAATAGTGGTGGGGGAGTTGATGCCCCTTTGTTGCCCCTATGCAAAAAAAATGTCTCTAAGTGCCCCCTTGAATCCTCTTTGTAGGGGATGGGACATGTAAAATGCTCTCTCTATTTCCCTGTCAGTAGAAAACATGTAAAGAAGGCCCCCAGGTGCTGTTTTAGGACAGTGGATGAAATGTGGAGACGAGCCCTCTGAGATATCTTCTAATGGATACAGTGGCAGAAAGTGTCCGAGTGGTAATCTAGCCCTATCATACTGTCGATCTTTTGTTCTTTAGAAAACTCAAAGTTAGGCTACATAATCGAAAGTCTTGTTCACAGAAGTGCAAGAAATCTATGGTTATGTATATGAGTGACGTGAAACCACAGCGTTAGAAAGAACAGGTTCACTCTTATCAGAGTGCATGACCTGCATGACCCAGGAGAAACTCTGGGAGCAGAGTTTGGAGTCGCCTTTTTTTCCCTCTTCCTCATCCAAAAAAGGGGCCGACGGTTCTCCTGCTCCTGTCACGCTGTATATATCCGTCTACTGTATGTTTCTTGGAAAGGATGAACTTTAAATGGGAATTTCCCCTTGTGGGATTAATAAAGGAGTATCTTATCAGAAAATCAGCCTCATGCAGGATGAAGCATTCCTGCGTGACCCAGAAGGAGTGAGAAATAATGAAGACTATTATCAACAATTACTGTGTTCATTGTTTACATTTTTAATGTTTACATAAATGGTTTACAATAATTGTATAACATTTCTGAACAACGCAAAAGAAAAACACAACTGAGGTATATTCATGTCTTTATATCTACTGTATATATAAATGTATAAAACAGTGTAGATCAGGTAACACAATGACAATAATGTACCATGGATGTATAAAGTGTAATTAATGAGAGTTCTTTAAAAGGAGTTTGAAGAGGTTGACAGTAACTGAGTGGAGTTACTAAGCTTCATCATCTCTAATAAGGTTTGTTTTCATGCCACTGAGGACGGTCCTCGTCGTGAGTGAACAGAGGTGCAAACATGGAGGAAATCTTAGTATGTTAGGGGTCCATCATTTCAGAGAGATAGGACTGATAATCCCCTCAGACACAGCTGTTCCTACAAGAACTCAGACCATGGTGTCACATAAGCTCTGCACTTGTGCGGTTCAGACAGAGCTCCATTGTGTCCTTTTGTTAGTCTTAATGTTGTTCTGTGTCTGTAGCGCCAGCTGATAAAGTCCGTGTCAGCTTCCTGTTCAGATTGTAATGATGTGTGTTTCTGTTTTAATCAGACAGATCCTTCATTTAATTAGTGTTTTGAGAGAAAGCTTACATGTGAGTGTTAGATGAGAAAAACAATACATTAGTCAAAACTTAGTGTTTAAGTTTGGCTGCTTGTCGGCCTGGTGGTCTAAGCCTTCACCCCATACTCAGAGGCTACAGTCTGGTTACAGCAGTCTAGTTCAACTGCGGGACACCCCAAACTCTCTCCTCTTTATGTCGTCTGTCTCCCTGCAGCTGTCACAAAAACAAAATGGCTAAAAAAAATACTTGAATGGATGTTGTGTGTATGTTTTGGGTATTCTGGTGTAAATTTAAGTTGTGGTCAAACACACCATACCACCAAACTAGACACCTCTTTGAGAGATGAATGTTGCCGACTGCTTGCTGATACCAACTTTATTGCAACCACACGATAGCAAAGCACAGCGGTCTACGTCTCCACGTGCAAACCTCAACCAAAAAGCCACTCTATAGCCACAAATAATGCTCAGAACAGCACCTAACTTCATCAACAGTACATACAGGGTCCCAGTCATAGTAGTAGCCATCAAACATCTTTGTGGTCGTTACTAAAGTTGGTATAACTGAAGAAGCAAGCAGTCGGCTACATTCATCTCTCGAGGGGGTGTCTAACTGGGTGTTACGGTGTGTTTTACCATAACTTAAATTTACGCCAGAATATCCCTTTAAGTCAGTAAACTGTTAGTCACTCAGCAGAGAGACAACAGTTAACAGCTTGTCTGGCTCTGTACAGAGCTCAAAAACACCTGTACAGCACTCTCTTAAAGTCAAGCTATTAAGTAGATATCCTCCTGACACCCAAGAGTTCAGACCTCAGGAAAAGCCTGTGTGCAGCTTCAAAAAATACAATATGAATGCATCTACAACCCATATTTCAAAGGAGTTGGGACACTGTGTAAAAATGTTTCACAAATCATGTCAACCCAATATTTCACTGAAAATAGCACAGAAACAAAGATGTTATTGTTAAGGAAAAAAGTCTTAGCTCATGTGAAGTTTGATGATTTTCAAAAGGACAGATTGAGGCCTGATTTCCGTTGTTGGAGCCAGTCGTCCAGACCTCAGTCCACCTTCAGTGGCCCCAGGCCTAGAAAGGTTGCCCACATTTCTGGATCATGTTTCTCTCTGCTTTCCTCTCGGCATGGTTCAGTATTAACCTCGTTCATGGATGCGGTGATGAACTGTATTCCCAGACAATGTTTTTTGGAGGTGAATCCATGCGGTGTTTTCCACTGCAGAGTCCTGTCTGTTTCTCCACATCCTCTGAATCTTTTGACATTTTATACGGTAAATGATAAAATCTCCAAATTCCTTAAAAATGTTGTGCTGAAAAAAAACATTCTAAAGCGGTTGACCTGATTTTGCATTATTTTCAGTTCCTAACAGGGTTGAAATGATCTCATAGGGTCAGCTGTCTCCCTCTTTGTCTTTATGCTAAAGTTACTTCAGCTCCATACGACAGTCTCTCATCTAACTTTAGTGGTGATATATCCCTTAGAAACTGTTGGGTAAGGCTGATGTTGGCCCATTCTTGTGGAAAAGGGTTTGAAGTTTAGGGTTGATCTTCAAAGAGGAGTGTGTGCCTACGTGTGTTTGTGCGTACATGGTTTTGTGTGTGTGCGTTTAAGTAGTACGATGGATGAGTTTCACAGTTCACTATTGCAAGTTGAAAAAACTGGTTCTCGCAGATGTGTAGACCTATTTTCTCCTCGTGTTTCTGAATATGTGCACCGAGTTTTAAACGGGACTTTGACTTGTGGACAGTTTGACACCGTGAACTTTCCTCATGTGTCTCTTCATCAGCAGCCTCTCAGTGAACAACTCCTCGCATTCATCACATTTGTACGGTCTCTCCTCTTTATGTTTGGCCAAAACGTGTTTCCTCAGAGTGGATCCTCTGTTGAAGGATTTGTCACAGATATGACAGCTAAAAGGCTTTTCTCCTGTGTGGGTTCTTATGTGTTCAGTCATGTGTCCCTTCAGTTTGAAACACTTCCCACAGAAGTGGCAGCTGTACGGTCTCTCTCCTGTGTGGACTCTCATGTGGTTTTGCAGATTGCTCTGACAGGGTATGTGTTTGCCACAAATATGACAGTCAAAGTTCCCTTTGCTCTCCTGTGCCTTGCTTTCGTGTGTTTTGAGGTGCCATGTCAGCACAGTTTTTTTGGTGAATATAAGGTTGCATATGTGGCATCGGTACAGGGTGGTGCTTGTTTTCTCCTCTGACTGCTCTGGGTCCTCTTCAGGGGTTTGCTCTTGCTCTTGCTCCTGCTCCTGCTCCTGCTCCCGGCTCTCCTCTGCTGCTCTACAGTCTTCTAACTGCTGCACCGTTTTGATAAGTTCTTTGGTCAGCGAGTCTCCGTCATCGCTGTCCTCCACTGACAGCTGCTCCTCATTCCCATTGATCCACAGTTCCTCCTTCTGTTCCTCCTCTTCCTCCTTAACCTGGGAGGGTCCGGGCTCATCCTCACACAAACTGCGACTCCACTCCTGCTGTTTAGGGGGAGTGTCCTCTGTGGGTGTAGGTGCAGTCGGCGGTTTGGCATCTGCAAGGATAAACATAGAAATGTGTAACACTTGCAGGACATGACGTAGTAATAAGCACCAAAATATTGATCCACACCCATCAGAGTTTTTACCTTTGAGAAAAGTTTGGAGCAGCTGCCTCAAAGCCACATCAACTTCAAGAAGGGACAGATCAGGCAATAGTGTAAAAGTGGTCTACGCTACTGAGACTATGCAAAAGTGACACAACAGTCAAAGACCGTGACCATATAGGTGGAAATTTAAGAGACTGTTTCAGAGTTTGGTCTAGACCTGCTCTTTAAGAAAGCCTCCGAAAGTAACAATTGTTGTGGTCTGGCGCTATAAAATTAAAAATTGACTGATTGAGAGCCATGATGGTAAAACCAGAACATTCTCTGTGCTTTGCCTATGTTAGTGTGGGAATAGTTGAGCCAAGTGCCAACAGGGGGAATTATGGGAAGTAAATCTGAAGTTATTTTCTGTATCTGTTCAAAAGGCCGATGTCAAGAACTTCATGTGATTTATATGGTGGTGCGGTATATTTAGGATGAAAATGTTCATTTTTAGATTATTGCCGTCATGGAAACTCTACCAACGGTTAATAATCAGGGACTGTGCAACAGTAAATGACGTTACACCTGAGTTGACGGCAATCCAGTAAACAAGTCGGAAAACCAAGATGGACGCTGTTAGCCGTTGTCAGCTGTTGTTCGCTATACCAGTTGTAAACAAATCATAACACAGTAGTTTTCTCTTACTAACACCATAGCGCCTTGTTCACAGTTAGATGTTGGGCAGTACAACAGAAGTGCTAATAAATTCTTTCACTGTTCTTTCACTGTTACTCTTTACTGTTGATGCCCTGCACTGCCATCTTAGATTATGACATCATCAAGTCAGGGTTGGCGAGGATCGTTCAACTTTCAGAGTGGGAAATCAGACTTCAGGGGGGCGCTCCAGATGAATTTCCAACTCAGAGCTTGGAAATCCAAACTTCCGAGTAAAAATGGAATGCACCATTACTTACACGTAGGTAGCCCAGTGATGAGCGTTATAATGAAAAGTAAGATGGTGGTTTAGTAGAGTAGGGTCCCTGCACAGTCACTTAACCCGGACCCTCTAGGGTGAAATAAGAGTCACCACGAGAGGTTTGAAACTCTTTTATAGTTAGTGTAAGTGTCTTCACTCTGCTCACTGATTAACTGTTTGTAGCTGTTTTTACCCCGCTGATTGCCTCCAATCACATGATGGAAAAAAGTCAAGCAGTAATTGCATGTCCTGTTTTTATTGACACTGCACTTATCATAACAGCACATCACAGGAATACACAGCAAGGACAAACAAGTTTAAGTCTGAAATGATTTCAGGGCAGACTTAAGTGCAACTTCCAGTAACTGAGTTGATAAAACATTGCACAACAAATCCTAAACACAACAACTTAAAGCCCTTTCATGCACTGAATCTGCATGTATAACTACAAACACATGATCAAGTCCAGAAATTATTTCACTACTTCCAAGTGCGCTTTCTTACTCATTATCTCATCTGATGCATTAACAGTGCAAGAGGACGTATTAGTGCCATCGGTCATAGCTGCTTCTTTGGGAAGCAAATCCATTCAACGAACCATCACAAAAATTAACCATAAATTAAAAAAAGACTTCTACCCCATGTCTCACACGGGGTAGGTGACATCATGGACTGCCCTCAAGTGTCGTTTCAGCAGAACGAGCAGAGGGAAGCACTGGCTGCACTGCATGCACTTGAAGGCATTGTTCTCCATGTGTTTGTTCCTGGCATGTTTGCTCATGGTGGAGGACCTGTTGAAGCTCTGGCCACAGATGTAGCAGGTGTAAGGCCTTTCTCCAGTGTGAGTCCTGATATGCTCCTTTATGTGACTTTTCATTTTGTATCTGTTGCCACAGATGGGGCAGGCGTAGGGTTTCTCTGTGGTGTGTGATCTCATGTGGATCATCATGTGACTCCTGCTGTATGTGGTTTTGGCACACAGAGAACAGGTGAATGTCTTGTTCCCGAACTTTGGTGAAAGTAACGAAGAATGACTTGCGAGGTGACACTTGAGCTCGATCTTTTTCTCAAAAGGCTTGCAGCAGATGTTACAGAAAAACAGGTTTCTCTTCTGCGTGTACGCTGTAGACACTTCAAAAGATGGCAATGGCTGTTCCTCATCTGGCAATTCATAATCTAAATGCTCCCCCACTGTCACGACACGCGTTAAGGCATCCAGGTCTGCGTAGTCACTGTGCTCTCCGACCATTAGAGATCGTGTTGTGTCATCTTGCATTTCATTTTCTTCATGCTCCCCAATTTTGACCACATGAGTCAGTGAGTCTGTAATGCTGCAGGATGGTGGACATACAGGTGTCTCCCCACGCCTGGACCAAGGTTCAGTGTGCTCTTCTTTTAAGGGCAGGGTGTCTGGCTCCTCCCTGGGAACACAATCTCTCTGTATCTGCTGCTCCTGAGCACAAACCTCCTGTGTAGGACTTGGACTCGGAGTGGTCAAATCAATCTGCCTTGCATCTGTAACAGTGGATAGGAGAATGTTTTTGGTAGCAGCTTGAAAAATAACTTCTTAGGTCACACATGAACTAGACTTTGGGAAACTTGAATGATCCCCAGCGGTGACGCATGTCTTAACAGCAGCAGAGAAATCCAAAGCAAGTTATGGCTTGAGAGTAGCGAGTTGAGGCGTGAATAAACCATGAACAAAAGGCTTTTTTGAGTGTGTTAGACAGAGGAATAAATAAAGATCTGGAACACACTGACTGGCTGGACTGAACATTCATAATACTGTATGTTGGTGATCTAGTAATGAGACAGAAAGGAATAATTCACCTAGACAAAGTTGTATGATTAGTGGCATATCCAGAAACTTCGATTCTGTGTACATGTAAGGTTTTCTGTAATCAGGAAAAAAAACAAACAAAAAAAAATGTAAATATAAACTTGATACTTAGAAAAGTAAGAGAACCATGAATTTGACCGGGTGGTGGCGATCTCTGTGGCCAGGGAAGGGTGCACGATGGGTGGCCACACACCTCCAGAGCATCCCCCTTGATACTTTGAAAAGTCAGAGAACCATAATTTTGGCCGGGTGGCGGCGCTCTCTGTGGCCCAAAAGGTCTCACCGTGCTGGGCAGTAGCTCTGGCGAATGCCTCAGAATTAGCTCTGGAGCCTCCTGCTAGCTAGCCTGTCACATCGCCAGCTTGTTTCTGAATCGATCGGTAGTTTGAATAAAGTTTTTAAGGTGAAGTATTGTACTTGCGAAGTACGGATTGGGTAGGTAGTGAGTCACTGCCATAAAATACATTGAAATGCCAAGAGAGGAAGTGATGTGCGTTGAGCACATGCGCAGTGCAAATCAGGTTTTCGGGATGGATAAGGTAGTGATATGTACCTCTCTTGAAACAATTCTGTGACACGCAGTGTAACTCTTCTATGGCGCCTGCGCGTGTCCGGCCAAAACAACCTTCATAGGCGTGCTCTGTACTCTTCTTCTGGAAGAGTCTTCCTTGGCAGCGTTACAGCGCCACTTACTGGCTTGGAATATACACTACATCATTTTCAATGGTCTCATTTTTAGAGATGATAGAAAAACTTTTTATTTTTAAAGTGAAGTTTGGTGAAGGTGTCACCGAAGAAAATATTGAAATCGACAATTGAGTTTTCAGAGGAAAAAACCTCGATTTTATTTTCAGCCAAAATTGTGCAGCCTTGATTCATATTCACAATGATTTGAGGGTCAGTGGATCTTACTCTCCTTTACGCCACTGATGCGACTTTCTACATCATTCCCATCATGCTTTTCTGCAACAAACTTGTAAGTTATGGACCTGGCACTCCACTCGGTCTTAGCTTAAATAACACCAGGAAGAATCACGGTGAAAGTACACAGATCATGACTTAGTTAAGATAAGTGGCGTCAAATTACTTTCTTGAAAGAAGTGCATGAACTTTACAACAACAACAACAAAATTATTTTTATTAAAGCTTTTCATAATCAGCTTATTCACAGACTTTGCATGCACCCACAGATATTATGTAAGCATAGATTGGCATGTTGTAGTGGGGTATAAAGTGGCAGAGTGACAGAAATGCACTTTATTTTTTTATTAGATGGGTTGTAATTAAAGTGAAACAAGCCAAATAAAAACACACAAACTCCCCTGCTGAAAAAAAATGTGCAGTCTCTCTCTGCAGATGCTCAGAGTGTAAAACAAAGTTACTCAAAAGGTTGTACGGCTCATTTGCATACTGGACGTGTGACTCAGTGAGGTTGGCTTGAGCTATGACAGAGGAGCACAGTGTTAAATATTTCAGCCAGGCCCAGAATTCAGCAGCCTGACTGTACTTATGAGAAGAAGAGAAACCTGCAATAATCAGCAAAAAATCACAGCTGGATACTTTGACTAGAACAAATGCTCCATAGAAGCTCTCTTTTTCCTACTGTTCGGCTAATGAGTCATATTTAAGGTGACTCAACTTCATTCCAGTAAAGGTGGCTATGGTAATCCAGACCCTGAGGTACATGATGATAATGAAATAGTTAATACATGAACATGACCTTTTTAAATTACCACAGATATGCCTGTGGTATCACAGGCACAGCTTTTTATGCCCCTGCACAGATACTGGTTGCCACTTTCCCACCTATCTAAACTTTGTGGTTGAGAAGTTTACTTCATCAGCTTGGGGTATCGTTGATAGAATGTCAGTTTTACTCTTTACTCACTGAGTGTGTTTACATGCACAGTTTAATCGGACTAAGCTCATAATTTTTTTTTTTTTCTCTGAATCGGACTTCTCTCCTTGTCCGCGTGTATGCAGCTGAGAAAATCAAATTATTGACATGTCCTCCATCCCAAAACTAGGGGGCGATATGAGTCTTTTCAGTGGCGCTGTTTTCGGTTGACCTCATACAACTGTCAACAACAACAGCAGGTCCGTGTCAGACGTCAGAAGTAGCTACAACTGCCGCTGAGCATTTTCGAGCAAGAAGATGGAGCATAGGACAACGTTGTTTTTGTCGTATATGATGTATGCGATACTTTTTCTGCAAATGAGGTGCACGCTACTCCTCGTGCTACTTCTTCTCTGGTGTTTTTGTTCCAGGGTTGCACATGCATTGTCCAATCATACTTTGACGACCCTGGTTACATGGTAGAGAAAATCGAATCCAATTGCATTATCTGGGTGTCTTAACTGGAGTTCTCTGACTTAAATTGGAGTTCTCAAACTCCGATTATAGTCGGACTAAGGTGTTGACATGAACCTCCGTTGTCAAATCTTAATCAGAATAAGGCAATAATTCAGTTTTCTTGAGTGTCAGGTAAACATACTGACGTCAAATCTGCAGTAAACTTCAACAACGTCACATGAGAGGGACTGATGTTGTACTGAATATCTTAAAAACTGAACCAGACGCCTCAGACCAAAGACAGATCAGCAGATACTGAGACACTGCGTTTAAAGAAGTTATACAGCCTACATTAATGAGTCAAAACTTAGAAGAAAAATATGTTTTTCTTTGCTTATTCTGACTTACCTTCAACAACTAAATCCAGTGCAGAACTTGATAAACTCAATTCAAAGTTTATTCAAATTCTATTCAAACTGGATGATTGCCAAGCAACCAGGGCATTCTTCTGAACCCTGTGGATGTCTAATCTTTATTGACTGTATACTAAGAGACAGAGAAATGCCAGTTTGAAGGTCACTTTTGTGGCCTGTATGGATTTGGGGTCTCAGCTCAGACAATGGTCTGCTGTAATGTTCATTGACACACCAGGCCCAGGTGGAGGTCCTAATTATGTTAAACTGTTTATCCCTCTGTGATCCAACAGGAGCTGAAAGTTCGTCCACTATTTAATGTTACACATACACTTAGACATATTTTATAAGTATCAAGACATAAATGGAATTAAACTTGTAATAAAAATATTAAGAAATTAAATACATCTTAAACACAGATAATATATTTGTCTTACTAAGCTGAATAATAACAACAACACGTCTAATAGTGATATTAATACTCCTCAGTCTTAATTTAGAGGTTCACCGGAAGTGTCGTGATGGTCTTGAGCTTCCTGTCGTTAGCCTTAAAACAGTTGCTATCTCCTTCTGCTAACGCCGCTTGTCTCTTCGCGTTAAACGGTCTGCTCACTGCAAACACTCTCTGTGTGCCAGCCTCGTAATATTGTCAGACAAATGACGGTAGACAAGGTGCTGTTAGTTTGGTGAGGCACATACCTGCCCTGTGCAATCGTATCTCAGGTTTGTAGACCAAATCCAGGAGCCGCTGTAACCGCTGGTTCTCCAGTTTGGTTCGGTAGACCTCGTCCTGGTAGTCTATTATCGTTTTCTCCACGAACCCGTAGATGTCTACGGCTGCTGCTGTTAATCTCTCCGTCAGGAAGACGTTGAATGACTGAAGCGTCGCGTTAGCCATCGTGCTGCCAGCTGTCAGCCCGCAGTCTGACTGAGAAGAAATGAAGCAGCAGCAGCCAAGGAAACACGGTTCATCTGAGCCACACCACCACCCAGTGGACGGGGCTGTGTATAACTACTCTGTTATAAACACCCTAACACAGTGGTTCTTAAACTCTTTCTGCAAGGCCCCCCTTTGGCAGATAAAAACTGTCTCAGGGTTCCCCTACACCTCACTGAACACATCAACATGTAAATGAAAAATATGTGAATGTATAAAAAACCACACCGTCTGTCACAAACTGCTATTGTTTTTCCAATTTACCTCAATGAAACGTCAAACTTTTGACCCAGAAACGTCTTTAAAATGTATTCTTTCAGCCCTGAAATAAGTCAGTGGCTACAGTGGGCTTGTTTAGTGCCACAGATCTTCCCCAGTCTGGGATGCAGCTGTGAGACTGCCACTCTCAGTTCATTTTCAATGTCCAGTTTTGATCGGTACTTGGTCTTGATGGACAAGACTGCAGAAAAACCTGCCTCACTCAGTTAGGATTTGGCAAAAAGGAGGAGAATAGTCAAGGCTCTCCTGCCCAGCAGACCTCTCCCAGTGCAGTCCCTTTGTTACCCATTGTTGTATCTGTGAAGCCAAAGGCGAGATATGAATCATCATATTTTCTTGACTCTTTTTTAGTATCTTCTGTTGTAGTGTCGTTGTTGCCCTTGTGTTTCCCTGAAGGTCCGCTGACGTTTGCCATGACTTTTTATGGTGTCATGACCTTGTGTACTAAATCTGTCTGTTTTGACAATGTGCACTGTATTTATTTAGCACGGGGCATGACCCACTTTAGGAACCACCGCCCCAAGAGAACCCAAATAACATGACCATTATCAACATTATGTAAGAAGTACAGCATCTTCTTTTTTATTCTTACTTAAGCATTAACGATGTAAAAAATCTCAAAGTAAATAACAAGAACATGTAAGAAGTAAAAAGTCAATTATCAGTTCGTACTGAACTATGATGTTAAGAAGTCCTTAAAGTAACTTTGGCATGGTGTCAGATAAGCTGATGTGTTCACTTTTATTGACATCATCTAACACTAAATCACACCCTGCTACATGTTACTTATTCAAGAGTTTGTTCGACCGGGAAACACTTTCATATTTTCAGAGTTTGTCCTGATTTCTTGCTGTTTTTCTCTGCAGCTGCTGGTGAAGAACCTTCAGTTTGAGGATGGAAAGATGATCGCTGCAGCTCAGTACTTCAAAGCAGGAAGCAGTGCTGCTGTGGAGCTCACAGAGGAGGAGAAAACATTTGCCGAACAGATGAGGGTAGGTCTCTCTCTACTTTTAGATCTTCAGGGAAACTGTTGACATAATGTTAAAATGATCTAAGCCTCTTCAGGAAAACTGTTGAAATAATGTTAAAATGCTCTATGCTGCTTTACAGGCAGTCTGGCAGAGTATTCTGACTAATGTCAGTCAGATTGAAGACTCCACTGATTTCTTCAAGTCTGGTGCTGCTTCTATGGATGTAGTTAGGTACGTAAAGAAGCTAAAAGATCTTTGAAGAGAAGTTATTCAACTGGTCCAATATATAAAGTGTATTTTGGAGACTTGACTATCTGCAACTAGCTCAGTATTACAAAATGCAATTAAAAATACCAATGATTACTTTTCCTATTTATTTTGCACATCAAAAAAATTCTGAAAATCAGAGAGCTTATCTGAAGTCTCAAATTAGTGTTTAAAAATCACACATTAAAAAGCATCAAACTGAATTACAAAACAGTTGTCATAATTAATGGTAAGAACACAATGTCTTTGATGACATAAAGTTGCAACAACAATCAAGCCAACAATGTCAAGACTGAGATAAAATAAAACCTGTAGATCAGCCTGTGGGTGAGCAGCATTTTTCAACCATATTAACACCACAGGGATGATATTACATTACACTTGGAGGTGATTAAACAACTGTTATCACAATTTTCCCATACAAAATACAAAATCACTACAGTCAGTGCACTAAAAAGTTCCTTTTTAGTACAGACATTTTCTGCATTGTGTAACAATAAGTGTTATCAATGGAAAAAAAATCCACTGAACTTGGGTTATCATAGTAACCAGAGTTTGTGGGCTTGAAGGACAAATGCTTTAATTTTGTCCACCTGAAGTCTACATAGTAATAATGTATTTCAACTGCAAAAGTTGCCCAACTTTTTCAGGATATCACTTCCCCCTACATCCGTTTTTTAGTGAAATACTTAAAGGTGCAGTGTGTAGAAATGGGAATATTCAGTCATATCTAACATTGAAACGCTCCCTTGCTCACCCCTCCTGTCAGTGAAGCAAAGTCAGCTTTCAAAGACAAGAGTTTTCTGTGATGCATGAACATAATTCTCCATTGCTCGACTTCGCTACCAAGAGCAGTCTCAATGGACGGGAACCCTAACCCCTCTATAGATATAAAAGGCTCATTCTTTGTTTTTTATATTTGAGTTATTATTATCTTATCTGAACACATGGCATTAGAGGCTGGGTCATATTTGACCTTATTTAAAAAGACTGACTAATGCTCAAGCTCCTTTGATTTGTAATATTCTCCTGACTCTTCTCAACAACAGTCTTAGATGGCTCCTCTCTCTTTGCTGCAGGATGGAGAGATTCAAAAGATTGTTTGTACTCACAGCCATCAGATTTCTTAATCCATCTATAGATAGTAGATGAGATGAGACTCCAGACAATCAAAATTCCCTTTTGGGAGCAATAAAGTCCATATAATATATTGTATTGTATGGTATTCTTCTGTCTCTGTCTGCAGGCTTGTGGAGGAGGTCAAGCTCCGAGCGAGTAGCTGCCAGCTGCAGAACGAGGACGTCTACATGAACACCACTTTCCAGGATTTCATCCAGATGTGTGTCAGAAAACTCAGAGGGGAGGATGATGAAGAGGAGCTGGTTGTTGACTATGTGAGTGTGTTTCACTCTGTGGTTACAAAGAACTGTGCTGGTAACATGCTGACTCTTGTCTTGTGCGCTGTTTGACTCCTAAGGTGGAGAAGAACATTAACAACATGACCATCAAGATGCCCCATCAGCTCTTCATTAATGGAGAGTTTGTTGATGCCGAAGGAGGGAAGACGTACAAAACCATCAACCCCAATGACGGGACGGTGAGGACAAAAGACAGACAGAGACAAAATAAACACTAACGCACGACCAATAAGTAGGAATTCAGATTAAACGATGGGTACCAAAGTGAGTCACATTAGGAGGCATTGTCAGTATGACAGTAAAAGTTTGGTCTCTGGCAGACTTCTTCAAACTGCCACAAATCATATATTCAAATCAAGTTCAGTACCTTTAGTTTTTAACTGTCCATGAGTGTCCTCTCCCTAAAAACTATGTTTCAAAAACTCAAGTTAACAAAAAACAGAAGAGCAAGGTTGAGAAATTATAGTTTGAGGTGGTTAAAATATGAAATGATTATTATTCATGTGCCATTTCTAGATCTATTTTAAGCTTTGAAGGCACCACGACTGCACCGCCTCGTTTAACATGACTGTCTTTGTTGTAATAATCATTTACAACTTGATTATGTCTATTCCTGTATTTCAATATTGAGCTGAGATAAACCTTTATTTATCCCACGGTGGGTAAATTTGCATTGTTACAGCAACAAAGGATCAGCAGAGCAAACAGAGGAAGAATAAGTACACTCATCATGCACACAGAGCACAGATGTACAGATGTACAGATGTACAGAAAAAAAATTACAAATTATGAATAAAGATTTTCTTAAAAATGAAAGGAAAGCTAAAAAAGACTTCTGGTAAAAGTGACACCCACCTCAGTTTGTTTTATCCAAACACATGTAGCTATCAATACAGATAATGACATCTCTGCACAGCCATCATAGTAAACTCTGTCTTTTCTTAAACTTAATCTTTATATTTTCAAATCCAAATGACCCAAATGTTCTTTCTGGGCCTGGAGAAAACTCGTGTTTAGTGGTAGCATCTACAAAAAGTTGTCAAGGTTACAGCCTTTGCAATGGGGGTTGTCAGCTGGTCCCAATATTAGGCCAACATTATGCAGATATTACTGGCTTGAACAGTAAAATACAGTAGATAAATAATTGTTCTCTCTGGCTGCCTAATGTGAATATGTCTCTGTCTTTCTTGCAGGCCATTTGTGAAGTGTCTCTGGCCCAGATAAGCGATGTGGACAAGGCTGTGGCTGCTGCTAAAGAGGCTTTTGAAGAGGGAGAGTGGGGCAAGATGAACCCTAGAGACAGAGGCCGGCTGATCTACAAGTCAGTGCACTTGTCCTTCATTTGAACATATTGGTTTAGGAATAAGCCATAATAAGAATAATAGATAAGGGGAATCAAAATCACAGCTGATGCGTTGGCAGTGTTTTGATTTAAGCTTAAGGACAAGACTCTTTGAAGAGTATTTGGTCAAACTGGCAGAGGATCTTTGATGATTTATTAAGTCAGCTCTGGGCCCTGTATCTTCTGTACTCACTTCCACTCAGGCTGGCTGACCTGATGGAGGAGCACCAAGAGGAGCTGGCCACGATCGAGGCCATCGACTCCGGAGCCGTGTACACCCTGGCCTTGAAGACTCATGTGGGCATGTCGATCCAGACTTTCCGCTACTTTGCTGGCTGGTGTGACAAGATCCAAGTATGAAAGTCTTGTCTATAACCCATTGCCTGTGTTTGGGTTGTCTGCCAAACAATAACATAACTAATACTGATATTACGTGTTTTCACAGGGAAGCACCATCCCCATCAACCAGGCCAGACCAAATCGTAACCTCACCTTCACCAAGAAGGAGCCAATAGGGTGAGAGATGGATGAGACTAATAGGTTTATCTCACCTTTTTTGTCACTGACTGGGCTTCTTGTGATTGTTGGATGAAATAAGATTCAACTTAAAGATGGCATTCACTTCATTTTGAAATCATAAGCAGCCAAGTGTTGAGTCTAAGTAAGACCATTTCTGTCTTCACAGAGTTTGTGCCATCGTGATTCCCTGGAATTATCCTCTGATGATGTTGGCCTGGAAGACGGCCGCCTGCCTGGCTGCTGGAAACACAGTGGTCCTCAAACCAGCGCAGGTAAACCTGATGATCTGATTTACTGACCTAATGATTTGAGAGCTTGCACATGTGGCTTTCAAGATAACTATCTTTTATTTTTGCGAACTTTCATCACATTATTGAAAACCTTGGACAAACAAACTCAAATTAATACCGTCAATCTCTCCTCCTGCCTCTGACTGTACTCAACTTGTAGGGCTTAACATGAGAGCACAGCAGGCAGCAAAATATTGTTCAGTTTTTATTATTGTATGATCAAGGGCAGCCATAATTGAAATTGAAATAGAAATTATGGCCTGTGGAGATAATTTAGTCTGAACATGATATGCCCACATTTTATTTTGCTAAAAGTAAGTCATTTCTTTCCAGGTTACTCCTCTGACAGCACTGAAGTTTGTAGAGTTGGCAGCCAGAGCAGGACTGCCTAAAGGAGTAGTCAATATTCTGCCTGGATCAGGTAAGATCTTCATAATTATTACCTGTGGGACATAAAATGTGTTTCATGGAAGTTATGTTGAAAGATCATCAGGAGCATCAGAAGCAGCTTGCCACACCATGCAGAGTTACACAAGGACAGGTGCTGTTGAAACTGAATATTTTTAAACTCGTCGTTTCTCCTGTAGGTGCTCTGGTGGGTCAGCGTCTCTCCGACCATCCTGATGTCAGAAAACTGGGCTTCACAGGTTCTACTGAGATTGGTAAACACATCATGAAGAGGTGAGTGATTATCCATTTATATTACACTCTAAACATACATTCAAGAAAATACACTAACCGGACACTTTATAAGGGACACCTGTTCAATTTGGCCTAAACAACATGACAGCATAGATCCATCCTGCCTTGTCTCATCAGTTCAGGCTGCTGGTGGTCTAATGGTATGGGGGATATAACCTCGGCACACTTTGGGCTCCTTAGTACCAACTGAGCATGGTTTAAACCCCACAGCCTCCCTGGGTCTTGTTGCTGACCATGTCCATCCCTTTAGGACCACAGTGTACCTAACTTCTGATGGATACTTTCAGCAGGATGATGCTCCATGTCACTAAGCTCAGATCACCTCAAACTGGTTTCTTGAACATGACAATGAGATCTCTGTACTCCAGTGGACTCCAAAGTCCTAGATCTCAGTCCAGTAGAGCCCTTTTGGGATGTGGAGATGCAGGAGATCCACATCATGGATGTGCAGCTGACAAATCTGCAGCCCCTGTGTGATGTTTTTATGTTAATACGGACAAAAATCTCTGAGGAAGGTTTTAACATTGAAAGGGTGCCATGAAGAATTAAGGGTCCAACTCTGTTCTAGCTCGGTGTACCTAATAAAGTGGCTGCTGATTGTATATTTTTGCTTATCTTTGTGTTACTGTCGTCTAAACCCTCTACAGCTGCGCAGTCAGTAATGTGAAGAAAGTGTCTCTGGAGCTTGGGGGTAAATCTCCTCTCATCATCTTCAGTGACTGTGACATGGACAAGGCTGTGCGCATGGCAAGTTTATTTTTTTAGGTCCTTTTTTATTCAAAGATTTTAGTGGCTGCAAAGAAAAAAAAACACAGATTTGTCTTTGTGTTTCAGGGCATGAGTTCAGTGTTTTTCAACAAGGGTGAGAACTGCATCGCAGCTGGCAGACTGTTTGTGGAGGACACCATCCATGATCAGTTTGTGAAAAGAGTGGTATGTTTGATATATTTTTGTCTTAAACTTCTGTACTGTAAGTATGCTTTGTTTCACTTATTCAGATGAATTTTCTCTCAGATTGAGGAGGTGAAAAAGATGAAGATTGGTGATCCACTTGACCGCTCCACAGACCACGGCCCTCAGAACCACAAGGCTCATCTAGACAAGCTTGTGGAGTATTGTGAGACTGGAGTCAAAGAGGGAGCCACTCTGGTCTGTGGTGGCAAACAGGTGCAGAGGCCAGGTAAGACTGCAGCAGTGGTCTAATCCCTCTGTACAGTTCATCTCTGACACGGTAGAAACCCTATGACTCATTCAATTCAAGCCAAACAACTTTATTCATCCCAAAATAGGGCATGGAAAAACAAAAACAAATACAAGACAACTCGTCAACCAAACAATACACTATGTCATTGGTGACAACTCAGTGTGGCGACAGCAGTTATGGACCATAGTGCAACAAACCACAAGAGCAACAAGAAAATGACAATGAATTAACATTTCACATGTCTATTTGAAACAGGAACTAGTGTGTTCATTTGTTCTCCTTGAGGGGGGTAAGGGGTCTGTCAGCTGAATTTCGATGATCCTGGAGCAAACTTTGACAATGCTGCCGAGACTATTTTTCTCCTTTATTGACAGTCCATAAAACCAGCAAATAACAGAAAAAGTAACGACTCTAAATATAGGAATGATAAAAACTACACCAAATGCTATTAGAAACATTAAAAGTACTCAGCTTACATAACAGGTTTAATTTTTGCTTCCAGGTTTTTTCTTCGAGCCCACTGTGTTCACTGATGTTCAAGACCACATGTTCATTGCCATCGAGGAGTCATTCGGTCCTGTCATGATCTTGTCCAAGTTCAAGGGCAGGTGAGGTTCGCTCAAGACAACATCATGCCACAAAATGATTCAGATCCTTCCTGTTTGACTGTTTTATTCTCACTCTCTTTTCTGCACCATGTCTTTGTCTCATAGTGAGGTCGATGATGTGCTAAGGAGGGCTAATGCCACGGAGTACGGCCTGGCATCAGGTGTTTTCACAAAAGACATCAGCAAAGCTCTGTACGTCAGTGAAAAGCTAAACGCTGGTACAGTTTTTGTCAACACCTACAACAAGACGGATGTGGCCTCGCCTTTTGGAGGCTTCAAGCAGTCTGGCTTTGGCAAAGACCTGGGTAAGAACAAAACAGCTACTGTTGGACTCTATGATTACCCTTCAGCAGCTAAAACGGTAAATTTTGATCAGGTTAACACACTAAGAATAATCACTTCGAAGACTGACTTCCATTCAGGTCTCATGATTTTCTTATTTAACCTCTAAAAGTCGATGAAATCCAGTTAAAAAAAAAAAAAACAGCAGTATTCAGAATTGCAGGGAACTTTGATCAGTGAGTGATGCAGACTGCAGCTGTATGTGAGCCGCTGGTGTCCTCTGATTCAGAAAGGTCCTGAAGTTTTAACCAAGTCCCACTCATGACGGCAGTCATCTTCTCTGTTCATGGGTTTGAGGTTTACTCACCACCAAGAAATGTGGGATCTCTTCTGCTCTCCAGTTGTGCGGATGTGCTCCATCTTACACAAAAAATGCAAGTGTAGATTCTGTTGCAGGATACAACCCAGTTACTATATCTTTGTTTGTGTCTCTATTCCTTGAACAGGACAAGAAGCTCTCAATGAATACCTGAAGACAAAGGCGGTGACCATCGAGTACTGAGTCTGATCACAGGGAGGCGTTCGTCCAGAGGCAGTGATGTCTGTGACACAGAAAGATCATTCCTTCACTGCTGCTGTTTCATCGCTGACTGTAACACTGTATGAACCCTAACACGATAATCCATCACATTCACGTGATATAAATTTTCTCATTAACATACTTCTAAGCAATGTTGTAAGTAGTCGAAGTTTGTTTGAGGTAACCCAAGATATTTTTGTAATCATCACTGAATTTCTGATATGGCTTACATTAGGTCAGAAAATCCCACTGAAATGTAACATTTCTAATAACACGTTTTGGTTATTAATAAAAACAACTGAACACCCGGTGCTGTGGACCTCTCTTTTTAGGCTGTGTGATGCAACTCTGAAAATTTGAGCACTTATGTATGACGCATGTACTCATACAGACATGCTAGTCTACTGTCTAACACAAACAAAGTAACAGGAGCACATTCCCATCACGACCCTCTCCATAAATTATGTCCTCTTTCCCTTTTTCACCCTGCTACTGTCTCAAGACAGACACCATGTTAGTAAATTTGTCATTTCTGTATTAATATCACAAACACATGGCATCACATCCATTCATTTATTAAATTCAAAGCTTTGCGCACTAAAGCCCCGTTGTGTCTTTGATAATCACTCTGCCTGTTTTTATTTATTGCCCACTTGATGGCACAATAGAGCAAATGAAGCACAATAATGAAGCTTCAGTCCAGGAGTGGAGCAATTGGATGGAAAGCTTCAATGCTTCAAGAGGCTTCATCTCACCATCACTAGTTCTGAGCATTATTTGTGGCTGTAGAGTAGCTTTTTGCTTATGCGCGTGGCTCTCTGTATTGCTATCTGCAGTCGTTACTAAAGTTGGTATAACTAGAGAAGCAAGCAGTCAGCATCATTCTATCACTAACTTAATTTTGCGCTGGAATATCCCTTTAATAATCAATGAATTGTTCAATTATTTTTTACGATTAATCAATGAATTGGATTCAAAAACATTTTTAATTTTCACCACTTTATTTCAAAAAGGAACATTCGAACTGACTGAGCGAATGAGTGGACCAAAAACAGGTTGCTGTTTGAATGTTCTGTTACAACCATATTAAATAATAAAAAAAAAAAAAAATCAGCTCTAAGTCAAGACAACTGCTTGCCGTGGTGTGCATGATGTCTTTCCCACCATAAAGCCCATGGCTGTTCTCTGGAATGAGAAAGACAGTATGACACGAGTATGTATTGTAGCACAATTTACAACATGTTAATATATTCCTTGTTTTCTTTACAGTGATATGTTAAGGCAAGCAAGTTGCCCAATGTGTATACACTTTAATCCCTGTCTAAATGCAATAGACCTTTTTCACAGTACGCGGAAATGAGCATTCTTCTCACTTCCGGTGTTGGCGTGTGGTGGAGCCACTTAGCATCGCCCATAGACGGCCATTCATTTTTCACGATATTAACAAGCTCGCGACTCGTTATTTTGAAAGGTAATGTAAAATTTTATGCTTTGTGCGGTTTAACTAACTCCTGTTCTTCATAATACTGTCCGGATTTTGTAGTTTACTTTTCGTGAGTTATGTTTAATAGGTCTGGAAATTTTCTGATGACCGTAACCATTGCTCATCAATAAAGACCTATTAAACATAATTCCCGAAAAGAAAAGTACAAAATCCGGACAGTATTATGAAGAACAGGAGCTAGTCAAACAGCACAAAGCATAAAATTTTACTTTACCTTTCAAAAAAACGAGTCGTGAGCTTGTTAATATCGTGAAAAATGAATGGCCGTCTATGGGCGATGCTAAGTGGCCTGTTCAATATTCACGTTTTGTTGGGGTATGAGGAGTGCTCATCTGGTAGTTTGTTGGTTTGACCAGCAGGTGGTGCTGCTGCATTAACAATAAACTGAGACTCAACCGAATAAGTTCCTGTTATAGTAAAGTTGAGGAAAATGACTGTCAAGAACACTGAACTTAACAGATGATCAAAAACTGTCACTCCCAATAAATGACAGGGGATGAGAATCTGTGATTTGGTGGTTTAGGTTTCGGTGAAAACAGTCAAAGTGAAAGTGAAAGTATGTGAGCTCAGAAACAGACTCCATTTTGAGAAAAGACCAGAGCAGAGAGAGGACGAGGAGACGGTGAGTGTTCACTCTGTTTCTGTTCTGTTAATGAAAAATGATTTTCTGACTAATACTCGAAAAAACTGCCAAGCAAAGAAACCTGACCAGACAAAGAGCCAGATCAGTTCTTGATAGCCTACGGGAAACTGCGTATGTGCAGCCCCCCCAGCTGCTGTCCCTTTGAACCACCCCACCCCCCTACTTTAATTTCTGAACACTCTCCTCCTGTTTATGTGTCACCTGTTTGTCTACTTTGTCCTCAGTTTGTATTCCTTTGAAAAAGATGGATAAGATGAGCAAATGTGTCGAGGAAGAGGAAGACAGAGCAAAGTCTGTTATGTCCGACTGTCTGTCCATGAAGAGTGACTGGTCTAAAGGTCTTCAACCAGACTTCAGGAAAGAACCAGGACCCTCAGAGGAGGACAGAGCGAAGTCTGTTATGTCCGACTGTCTGTCTATGAAGAGTGACTGGTCTAAAGGTCTTCAACCAGACTTCAGGAAAGAACCAGGACCCTCAGAGGAGGACAGAGCGAAGTCTGTTATGTCCGACTGTCTGTCTATGAAGAGTGACTGGTCTAAAGGTCTTCAACCAGACTTCAGGAAAGAACCAGGACCCTCAGAGGAGGGCAGAGCAAAGTCTGTTATGTCCGACTGTCTGTCTATGAAGAGTGACTGGTCTAAAGGTCTTCAACCAGACTTCAGGAAAGAACCAGGACCCTCAGTTGGACAGTAAGAGAAAAACTTTTTAACCACCAAACTCCCAAACAGTAATTTATGATGCTCTAAATTCTGACCCCTCTGTTTTACACCAAAAATGATCTCCTCTGCTTTCCAAATAGTAATTTTCCTCTTCAACCTGTCAACCTGGAGAAAGGGTTGGCAAAGAAAAAGTCTCTGAGCACATATTTGCTTATTATTCATAATATTTATAAAAATGAAGGGCGTATAAAACAGCATTTTAAAAGGATTCTGATCTCTGTATTTTCTTATTAAGTTCATGTGTTTGAGATGTTTTTAGTCTGTAAGTCTTTGGACTGTGGTGCATAGACCCCAGAAAACAGTCTGTGGGTCACAAAATACCAGGAGACCAAAGAAGAAATAAATCTTGAGAAATAAAAACTGATTCAAAGAATCTGTTTGTTATTCGACCTTTTGATCTGATTGGTCAAAAAATGTTTTAAACTGTCAGAGAAAAATCTCTCTACCTTCAAAACACATAACTAAAATCACAGTTCAGTTTTTCTCATGTCACGACACTTTTAGGCAGCAGCAGGTTAATATTTTGCAGGAGATTGTTTTATGTTAGAGAAAATAGTGTCATCAGAAACTCTGGTTAAATCAATGCTTCTAATTTTGTATCTTTCAAAAATTAAATGATAATATTCAAGAAAATAAATGTCCTTTATTTCCTCAGAGAGACATTGAGATGTGACTCTATGGAGGAGCAGCTGTCCAGATATCTCAGCTCTGATAGAAGTAAGTCTGAACATCTGTCCTTTAAAGTCTCTTTCTCTGAAAACACAGCTGATTATTTATCACAAAGAAGTTTTTGTGTTGAGCAGTTTGGATTATAATTTTTTTCTTCTCTTTCAGTAGATCCCGGTCTGCAGGAGGTTTTAGATGACCATAAGATCAGTCTGAAGAGGAGATGTGAACATGTGAATGAAGGAAGTGATGAAGCAGGAAGTAGTCAAACCCTCCTCAACAGGATCTTCACTGAGCTCTACATCACAGAGGGACTGAGTGAAGAGGTGAACACACAACCATGAGGTGAGACAGCTGGAGACAGCTTCAAAGATGGAGACCCTCCATGACACACCCATCAAGTGTCATGAAATCTTTAGAGTCTTACCAGGTCAACAGGAAGTCATCAGAGTGGTTTTGACCAACGGCGTGGCTGGTGTTGGAAAAACCTTCTCAGTGCAGAAGTTCACGCTGGACTGGGTAGAGGGCTTGGAGAACCAAGACCTCAATATGGTGATCCTGCTGTCATTCAGGGAGCTGAACCTGATCAGAGATGAGCGCCACAGTCTTCTGAGTCTGCTCCATGTTTTCCATCCAACACTAGAGAAGGTCACAGCAGAGACGCTGGCTGTCTGTAAACTTCTGTTCATCTTTGACGGTCTGGATGAAAGCAGACTGTCTCTGGATTTCACAGACTCTGAGGTGGTGTCTGACGTCACACAGAAGTCTTCACTGAACGTTCTGTTAACAAACCTCATCAAGGGGAACCTGCTCCCTTCAGCCCTCATCTGGATAACTTCTCGACCTGCAGCAGCCAATCAGATCCCTCTTTCATGTGTGGACAGGGTAACAGAAGTACGAGGCTTCACTGACGCCCAGAAGGAGGAGTACTTCAGGAAGAGGTTCAGAGATGAAGATCTGTCCAGAAGAATCATCTCACACATCAAGTCCTCCAGGAGCCTCCACATCATGTGTCAGATCCCGGTCTTCTGCTGGATCACTGCTACAGTTCTGGAGGACATGATGAGCAGAGAGCAGAGAGGAGAGCTGCCCAAGACCCTGACTGACATGTACTCACACTTCCTGCTGGTCCAGACTCAGAGGAAGAAGCAGAAGTATGAAAGTGAGAGAAGTCCTCAGGAGTTGACTGGGGCTGACAGTGAAGTTCTCCTGAAGCTGGGGAGGCTGGCCTTTGAACATCTGGAGAAAGGAAACATCATGTTCTACCGAGAAGACCTGGAGCGGTGTGGTCTGGATGTCTCGGAGGCCTCTGTGTACTCCGGAGTTTTCACGGAGATCTTCAAAAGAGAGAGTGTGATCTTCCAGAAAACAGTTTACTGTTTCGTTCATCTGAGCGTTCAGGAGTTTCTGGCTGCAGTCTACATGATCCACAGTTTTACAAACAGAAACACAAAAGTTCTGAAGACTTTCCTAAAAAGCAACAAACACAAAGACAAAATGTCTTTTTTAGAGATGGTTTTCAGTTCTTTTCAAAACCTGGATAACTCTCTCTTCTCTCTGGATGTCTTCTTGAAGAGTGTCATGGAGAAATCCCTTGTCAGTAAAAACGGCCACCTGGACCTGTTTGTTCGTTTCCTTCATGGACTCTCTGTGGAGTCAAACCAGAGACTCTTAGGAGGTCTGCTGGGTCACACAGACAACAGTCCAGAAATGATCCAAAGAGTCATCAACAACCTGAAGAAGATGAACAGTGATGATATCTCTCCTGACAGAAGCATCAACATCTTCCACTGCCTGATGGAGATGAACGATCTGTCAGTTCATCAGAAGATCCAAGAGTTCCTGAGGTCAAAGAACAGATCACAGAAGAGACTCTCAGAGTTCCACTGTTCTGCTCTGGCCTACATGCTGCAGATGTCAGAGGAGGTTCTGGATGAGTTCAACTTAAAGAAGTATGACACATCAAAGCAGGGACGACAGAGACTGATCCCAGCTGTGAGGAACTGCAGAAAGGCTCGGTAAGTCCAGGTTTTAATTCTCAGAATAGTGTAAATGAACCCTGTAGTTCTTCTAATGTCCACAATACTGATGATGTTCTTCTTCAAATAGAAATCTACTGAAATATCAGGGAGGGGGTTTCTTAAGGTTTGGCATGTATAATTAATTTCTGAAGTTTGTCCATACAGATGGCTGAGGGGACAGGATTTATGACCTATATGACCTATACTAAAGCCCGTCACCAGAGGTTACTGTTCTTGGGGTGGCTTCACCCAGCAAGGAGGCAGACGGCGTCCATTCTATATACATTCTATGCTCCAAATGCTTCTTTCTGCATCAAACACACAAACTAGCAAGATTCAATGTTATTTTTATGGGAGTAATAAGAACGTACACTGTAAAAAAAGAATAATTGAGAAAATTTCAAATTTTAAGGCAACCTTTTGCAGTAAGATTTTTTAATTGTGTCAACGATTTGCTAGGTCATTGTCATAAGTGACATTTCATCGTTGTATCAATTAGGTTTACGCTGTTTGGTGAATGGTCACTACTATTTATTCTTCGTTTTGCCAATATAAACATTTAGCAGCCCTAGCCGTCGGCTAGCAGCCGCTTGCTAATGGCTAAAGTTAACAGCTTTCTCCGCAGCGAGTGAGTGTGGAGGCGGCGTGCATCATGAATGCGCCCCAGAGATAAAATTGCCTTCTCAGTTACATGTGCAATTAAACACGCGGCTGAGAAACACGTCATGAGGGAACAGAAAGATAATTTTCCGGCAGACAAGCAATGTAGATAGACAAGCATTGTTAGCTAAACTGAAAAAGTAGCCAATTTACTTAAGTAAATTTGGTAAAGCAGAACAACACCACATTCTCTATTAGTTAATACACTTAATGCAGTTCAGACAAGTTTATTTTCACACAGAATACTTTAACAACTTGGACTAAAGCTGGTCCACTCAAAAAAGTCCTCTTCTCCCTCTGCGCTGCTGGCCATGACACACAATGAGGGAGAACTTGCCCTTGTGACGGAACGTGGTAAACCCCATAGGTCTTCTTCGGCAGACCTCATGGGTCAATGTCAGAACTGCATTATAGGAATTTTTCTACTTTGTTGTGCAAACAACAAATTGCAAATTCTGCTAATTTAGAATAACATATTTGGTCTCTATTGAGGTGCACATTTTTGGTATGACATGTATTTTCTTGTTAAATAATAGCTATTTTAATTTTCATGTTCACCCAATTAAGAATACAAACTCTTGTGAATAGATTGTCGTTGTTTCTTTAACAGTGTAGGCCCCCTAGAGTTCAAATAACCTGAACCATTACTTCTACTTATAACATACTTATAGCATGTTAACCCAGAGGGAGGGAGAGAGGGAGAGAGAGAGAGAGAGAGCACCAGAGCACAAAGACAGAGGTACAGTGGGTCTTTGTAGCTGTCTCTTAAAGGTTCTATCTGGATGCATCAGGCTTCATAAACTTGTTTCTGCTGGTGAAGGGAATGTTACATGGAGCAAAAACTTTCATTGTGAAAACAAAGAAATCTTCAACTCTTCAAATGTACAGAGTCAAACCAGCTCTAACCTGCTAAAAAATGATTTTATCTGAACCAATTATAGAAAAAGGAAGCTGCTGTGATTTGGTGAGTCATCCTCTGTTTGTTCAACAGTCAGTGTCTATGGAAAGACTTACATTACAGCAGGATGTCAACATTAAGTACTGAGAGGAGCACTGATTCTCCATGTGCAAAGAGGTACTTTGGATACTAACCAATCACACCAGAACCAAAATCATGGTTCTCAGCACCCTTCTCCAACCAGAACTCAAGATTTCACACAATCATAATGATACAACTGCACTTACATGAAGACAACTCTGTTAGAGTGTTAGAATGACAAAAATAAGTCATGGAGTCATTTGTCTTGAATATCTGAACAGTTTTTTTTCCTAAACTTTGGTTTCCTGTCTTCTCTCATGGCTGTGGTCCTGATATTCGTATCTGGCTGGTTAAAAACAGGCAGTCTGTCAAACCAAAGATAATGTTTGATTTGTCTTAGGTGAAGAGAAGCATAAAATTACCTTTCAATCAAATATTGTGTGATGTTTATGTTGTTACAGACTTTTTGACTGTGGACTCTCAGAGACTCACTGTGAAGTTGTGGCCTCAGCTCTGAAGTCCAACCCCTCCCATCTGAGACATCTGGACCTGAGCAGAAACGATCTGCAGGATTCAGGAGTGAAGCTTCTCTCTGCAGGACTGGAGAGTCCAAACTGCAGACTGGAGACTCTGAGGTCAGACACCATTTCCTTTTGATCTAACGATAAGATGTGACAGCTGCTGCCTTAGATTTTTCTCTGTGGTTTTTCCATCAACTTTAGTTTAGCAGTTTGAATTTGTAGTTGTAAAACTTCAACACAGGAAGAAAAATCCAACATTTCAGAGTTGACTTTGAGTAGAACGTTGGATGTCAGTCACACGATGTCAATCAGTCACACAAATATTACACATGCTTGTAGAGGGCAGGAACAGCACAGACTAAAGGCTGATATTGAACTGATCCACAATTAATGTGATCACTAATGAATGAATGAAGTGTCAGAGAAATGATGAGCTGCAGATTTAAACCTGAAGAACAAAGTTAATCCAACCCTGGATATTTCATTTGGAAACTCTTGAAAACATGAATTCGCTCTTTGTTCTGTCGTGTTCAAATGTAAACACCAGATTAAGATTTTTCTGCAGTTTTCACTTCAGTTTGTTGAACATTAACATCATCTTGTCCAGTTGGTCCATAAAAACCTCACTGGTAAATGATCTGTTTGTTTATTTACAAGTAGTTTGGCAGTTGTTGACAGCAGACGGACAGAGCCTGACTATTTTAATCTTAATGAAGAATTCGTGACTACAAAAAACCTTTAAGATTCCTCAGATAGTGTCTCAGGATCTCACTGAAGTAATCTTGAAAGGATTTTATAAAGTTCCTCAAGATCAACTCTGAAAAATTCTTCTTCCATGTCCTTCAGGGGCAAAATAACATTGAATCATTTAAAGCAGGAACAGTTTCTTGATAACAATTTTTTTCTTTTTTCAGACTGTGGGACTGCAGTTTGTCAGAGATCAGCTGTTCTTCTCTGGTCTCAGCTCTGAAGTCCAACCCCTCCCATCTGAGACATCTGTGGCTGCGTCAAAACAAGTTGCAGGATTCAGGAGTGGAGCTGCTGTGTGACTTTCTGCAGAGTCCAAACTGTAAACTGGAGACTCTGGTGTAAGTTTAGTCTTTGTCTGTATCTGGTGTAGATTTTGATATGTAATCCATTTTTTAACCTAATTTAAATTTTCATAGAATTCTTTAATATTTCCAGAAAATTCTTTTCACTCACATAAATTTATAGTTTTTTATTGAATAAGCAGTCAGATACAGATGGGAGAAAATGGGCTCTGTGAGTTATTTTGTTGATTGAATGTTGATGATTTTTTATGAATGGTGAGGATGATCACAGCAGTGATGTTGACGGGTTTGTTTCCTCGGTCTCTAAAGCATTAAAATGTTCAAGGATGCAGTGAACTCACTTTCCATGCAGCTCAGGAACACAGCTCATCTTTTTCATACAGGAAACTTTATCAACTTCAGGTCCCATCAGTCAGCAGCTTTAGTCAGAAACCTTGCTGTCAGAGCTCCGTCATTTCAACCCTCTGTATAACTCCTCAACACAGTCAAGACCCTGTGAGCACATCCTCATATTATGCTGGTTTAGTTACAACAGCAACGACAACAATCAACTGTTAGCAGTGATTTCTTCCAAACAGTAGAGGACCCAAACTTAAAAGTGGTTGGAAAATTCAGGTGTCCACCACTCATGCAGAGTTGACTCACGTTGATGATGTTTTGATGTCTGGAGGACATGCTGGAGTGAATTCAACAAAACCTCCAGAGAAAAAAAAAACAGCAGTGGCAGCCAATACATCAGGCTTCAGTGATGTCTGTGTGTCCCTTTATTTAACCAAATCAGCAGTCAGAGAGTTCTAAAGGAAAATCTTATCTGAGTATTTCTCATTTGTCTCTGACTTACATGAACTCAGATCTTGAGTGTTGCTGGCTGGTCCGGTCCAGTGCTGACAGTAGAGACAACAGTCTTTCATGGGTTGAGTGTTACTGTTGAAGATCAGTGTACAGTGAGGGATGAAGGCAGTCAAAGATCATCCTGTTTCCTTTATGTCACAGTTGAAGTTCATTTTTAAGCCTTTTTGCTTTTTATTGATCCGAGTGCTGAATAGGAACAGGAAACGTGGAGTAGAGAGTGAGTGAGGACGTACAGCTAAGGGTTGTGGCAGGGAGTTGAACCAGCAACTGCTGCAACAAGGATTTCACCTTCTGAACACCTCAACCTCTAATCCAAAGCAGTGCTCCATCACTTTTGATGTCTTGTATGTTATTTTATATGGAGGGTCAGAGCAGATGAGATAATAAGCTCTGACAGACTGGATCTGGTCGAAAGGTCTCCTGTTGGAGTTCTCTAAGCTGAACATGTGAAGTTTGATTATTAATTATTTTTTTCTACATTCTCATTTCTTTTTTTTTTCAGACTGTGGGACTGCAGTTTGTCAGAGATCAGCTGTTCTTATCTGGCCTCAGCTCTGAAGTCCAACCCCTCCCATCTGAGAGATCTGAACCTGAGTGTCAACAAGCTGCAGGATTCAGGAGTGGAGCTGCTGTGTGACTTTCTGAGGAGTCCGAACTGTAAACTGGAGACTCTAGAGTGAGACTTTTTTTCTCCTCTCAAACATGAGCATGATTTGTTTGTGATGATGACACTAAACTGCTGACTCAGGACTGAAATACTCACCAAGACTGAACACTTTCAGTCCAGAGTAGATTTTCTGCATCAGTGGATTATTTGATTGACACTGCTGAGATCCAGTGTATTAAAACCTGAAAACAAGAAGAAAACATTTTGTAGACTTCACATTTAGAATCACATTCAGACTGAAAACAGAAGCAGGGGGAGATTTGTCAGATAACAACGATACAAACTTTTGTGCAGGACAAGATCAGGGAATAAAAAAACTCCAGCTCTGTTAGTTGGAATTTTGATTGTTTTTTAAATCTTTGTGTAAAAATCTGAATTTAAGGGTTTATCTGCGTTTTTCTGAAGCCTTACTGTGTTTAGACTGAAATATTTACCTCTCAAAGACGTGATAGTTTTGGTTCAGCAAAGTGAAAATATTCTGAACATCCTTTATTTCCTATCTGTCCTGAAGTAGCTGACATTTTCTGAAAACATTTGAGCTACATCTACAATAAGTTTGAAAGTATTTGAGTTTGTTTTCAGTATTTAATGTGTAATTGAATTCACTGTTTCAAACTTACTTCCTGTTTGGTTCAGTTCTTTGAAGTGTCACTTTTCTTTGAGTCATACTTTCCAAACCTTTCCCCTGCTCACTACACATTCAAGACATCAGATTTCAAACTGGATCATTGCTTGTCTAAAATCTCATTATTTCCTCTTTATTAAGGTTGACTAACTGCAGTTTGACAAAGATCAGCTGTTCTTCTCTGGCCTCAGCTCTGAAGTCCAACCCCTCTCATCTGAGAACTCTGCGGCTGTTCAACAACAATCTGCAGGATTCAGACGTGAAGCTGCTGCGTGAACTTCAGAAGAGTCCAAACTACAGACTGGAGGATCTGGGGTCAGTATAGAGTTGCAGTTAGTCTGTGCTGATTTCTCCAGTTACACTCCACACAGTATCACAGCAGATATTCAGAAATAGAAATATTCAGTTTCTGCTCTGAAGTCGAGTTTATAGTTCTCTGTGTTCAACACAGACTTTATTTCTCTGCTAACTTGCTGATTTTGATCTCTAAGAAAAAATCAAATGAGGAGTGTAAGAGTGTCAGTTATAAAAAAGTGTCTCCTCTTCTCTATATTTCAGATCAAATGTAGAAATGAGACATAATGAAATAGAAATATTCAGTTTCTGCTCTGAAGTCGAGTTTATAGTTCTCTGTGTTCAACACAGACTTTATTTCTCTGCTAACTTGCTGATTTTGATCTCTAAGTTTGAAAACAGGCAGCTGTTCTTTATGCTTATTATTTTCACAGCAGGTTTGTTAGATCAGCTTTAACACATTTGAGAGGAACGGTTTCTTTATTTCGATGCACTTCAGTGTAAATATCAGTTCATCTCCAACACAAGACAGACAGCGGGACAAAAAGTGAGGCAGCCAACAGTGATGATGTGGTGATGCCTTCAAGGACTCTCCCTTTCCCTTAAAGCTGCAAGTGTTCTAGATATTCAGATGAGAGGTGAGAGGAAACGTGCTGCTTTACACCATCACTTCTGGTCTGAGCAGGACTGAAACCTGCTGCTCTTGAAACTGGATGTTCTGCAGTCCAGCTGATGAAGTGAGTCTCAGAGAGGAAATACTGATTGTCCTTTTTTTTCTCTCCTCAGATGGAAGTAACATCTGTCAGAGTGATAAAAAAGAGGATCATCTGTTTCCTGATGATCAGAGAGGTGGAGGCAGCAGCAGTGAGGGTGAGGTGAGTCTCTGACTGGACCGTGTTACTGAAAGACTGACTGACCAATCACAGCGGGCGGAGAGGACTCCGGGAGGATTACTTTGGATTTGGATAACTTTATTTTGCCAATGATGCAGCGCCACCCAGTGGACATGTGAAGAAGTGGAGTTGATTCATTCCCATGTACATACTTTTGCAGCAGAAGTTGATACCATGAGTGACAGTAGATCACAGGCGCACACAGACACACACACACACACACAGACTTACTGACACAGTGCAGAGCAAACGCAATGAATGATGAAACGACAGCTTTGGTCTCTAATCCCAACGCAACAGCCCCAGTGTGGGAACATTTCAGTTTCAAATAAAATGAAAGAGGTGAGCCCACGATCACGGACGATATGTTGCATTTGTTCGAAAGTTTTGGTGACAAAGAAGGAGAATATGACGAATATGCATGCGCACCGCAAGCACAATTGTGCTTGAGGTGCGTATGCATGTTCTTTGACCTGTTGAGGAATAGCACCCAAAGCCAATTATTTACTGTAATTTTGTTTACAGACTCGAGACTCCACTTTATTTGTTGTTTTAATAGTTATGTGTGGAGTGAAGTTTTTGTTCCGTACCAGACACAAGGTCTATTTTTTTATTGTTTGTAGTTGTGATTGTGGTTTTTATTTGAATGCAGTTTTTGATAAAACAGAATGTGGGTCCATTTTATTTTCATTGTTTTTTGGTTGTCTTGTTTGTTTATTATATTTGTTCATCCTAGTTCAAAGTTCTTCATCTTGAGCAATTAAAGTTTATCGCTTTTGACATGGTGTACTCGCATTATTATGCCATATATTATCATTATCTATAATTTAAAAAACAGTGTCAATAATATCGTTTATCGGCAATAATTTGTAGCACAATTATCGTCCAGCAAAATTTGTTATCATGACAGGCCTACATGTAATCATGTATATCTATTAAAGAGGTATCAGAAAGGAAGTATAGAGCCTGAAAAAAAATGCATAATAGCCCCTCTTTAAAGAAGGCTTTAATATACTGTATTTACCACAACATTCAAAGAAAGGAGTGAGTCAGCCTGTTAACATGAGCCTCTTGGTCTTTACTGTGTAAAATGTTTGCCATCTGATATGTTGCACTGGGTGAAGATGAGGGAGGCCAAGTAAGAAGAAGAAAAAAAAAAAGCACAGATGATTGGTGTTAAATGAAGTGGCTTAAAGGTCTGAGCAGGGGAAGTATGAGGTGTGGAGAGACAGGCTGAGGAGACGGCAGCAGCATGAGTGTGTGTTAGGAGCCTTGTTCCTCTAACTTAAACTCACTCTCTCCTGAGGGATGTGGAGCTCTGACTGCTCTTTCACACCAGCAGCCCTGTACACACAAACCTACCGCAACCTCCAAACACCGTGCAGCAGCCCACTGCCAAAGAACACACAGGCACACACAGCACGCACACACATAGGCACAGTGTGTACAAATCACCGCATAGACATGCACATACGCAGGCACACCAAGTCTTTCAGGACTAAAAATAAATTACCATGGTGAGTGTGCCTAAAATAACCGGACACAAAAAACACATACACAAACATATACTCACTGTACAAGCACACACAAAGCTTTTAGGAATGCACACACTCTCTGACATGAACATGCAAATACACCCTTGGCACCTGAACCTCGTTACACCTGACGCTGCCAAAGCAAACAGAAAGCAGCAACCATCGACAATAAAAAAGAGAGATGGACAGGATATGACCCGACAAACATGGGTCAGTGTGAGGGATGCAGTTTACACACACACAAACACGATGACACACGTGCACTCTCACACACACACACACACACATCACATTCAGAAGCATGTCAGCTTGTACTTGAGGTTTGTTTTTTCAAAGCTTAGACAGATTTTCAGATTTTACGCCTGCTTTATACAACTCTGCTTCACATTTATTCACAAACAGGCCACTGCTGGTACAGGGCAGGATCTAGAGAGTGGCATTCCTCGCTCGAGGACACTCAGACAGTACGTGCTGATTGGTGTAGAGGACCCAACAAAATCCTGCAAAATAATTGAAGAAAACAACATATATGTAGGTGTTTTGGAGCAAGGCCTAGTCCTGGTAAACTCCTTGAGTTGAGGTTCAATTCTAGTCTTAGGCTTTATTACAATGAACTGTATTTGGGTGTAGTCGCAGGAACTATGACCCTGTAGTTTGGGAAGTGCTTTCTGAAGCCACTAGTTTCTGAGATAAAATATTGCCATGTGTAAAAACCGTATTACTGTGCAGAAAAAGCACAGAACACACCAAAATGGGATGAATCCATTCATGACTGTTCTATCCGTTCTGTTTCTATGCTGTGACCAGGCTGACTCCAGGCTGCCATGCCTCCTGACGTTACAGGTTAGCTGACTGTAGATGTGGCATCTGATTGGTGGACAGACCAAAACATTGATGGCAACTTCTACCTGGCATAGTCAGCTAACATTCAAAAGACTAATTTACTTAAATGTATACAAGAAATATCTATTAATTTAATTTAATTTTTGAGGTTCGTTTAGCACAGCGAAGCATTGCAATGACTTTGCAGCCTTTTGTATAGATAAAATTCAGAGTATAAGACAAACAGTAAGCGGCTTTTTTTCAGGCAACTTGGTTATGTGACCAGTTCCTACTCAATCTTCTAGACATTAAGATACGTTTTAACTCGTAGACCACACATCTCTGACAGAAACTGTTAAGAACAATTGATATGCTGCCTACAAATCTGTTGGAAAATGGTTTTAACTGTGCTGCACCTGAATTTTTAAAAGGAGTAAATACGTCCCCTTTATCAGGACAATATCCCAAGGCCTTGAAAACTTTTAAAACCTCTTTAAAAAACCTAATCTGGATGTTTTCATACGAAGTAACTCCAGACCCATATCAAACCTTGCGTTTCTGTCAATGATCATTGAGAAAGTTGTTTATCAACAAATTAACTCTTTCTTGACTCAGAACAATACACCATACACAATACACCTTGTGTATGAATGGTGCTATACAAACAAACTTGCCTTGCCATAGTATAGTTTTTACTGTTCATGTAAATCTCTTGTAGACTCATTACAGCAGCTTCTCTGCATTTCTTTCACTTTATTAAATCCCTGCCGAGCCAGTGTGTCCATGAACAAGCAGCAACATAACTGCCCTGTTTTTCCCACACACAGCTACAAATGTACTTTTACTTGCCATCACTCACCCTTTACACCCCCTCCAACCCCCCATTCACCCTCACACCTCAGTGGTGTACGGGGGTCGGGGGTGGTGGGGGATCAGGAAAGAGTGTTGAGGGGTGAGAGGGGTGAGGCTGATGAAGGTGATGGTCAAGCTATAGGAGGAGGACAGAGGGGAACAGTGTGTTCTTCAAGTCCACATGGGAGAGACAGTGGGGTTAGTGTGTTTGGCCAGGCCGGGTCTCCTCCCCCTTCTCTCTCTCTCTCCCTCTCTCTCTCTCTCTCTTTCTCTCTCTCTCTCCCAGAAGCTGCTTCTCATTAAGCTTGTTTGTTTTGGCTGACACACAGTGGCACTTAGCAGCAATACACTTATGCGTGTGAGTGTGCACAGAACTACACGCATCTCACACACACAAAAACACACTTAGAGATTTGCTTGTTTTGGAAGTGATCAGTTACCACTTAGTAGAGCCTGTAAATGCCAGCCATCAGCCAAACACACCAACTCGTTTACATTTGCCAAACTGACTCCCCCAGTCCCCAACCCCCAATCATAAACGCCTCTGACCAAATTATATGTGCGGTGAACATGAACATAAACAGAGATCAAAATTATATCAAGTCTCAGCCCTGGCTGTGTTTTGTTGTATTTTTGTTTGTTTTCTCTGTGCTGGCTTTGGTTGCATTTGTTGTGGAGTGAGTGCTGTGTCTGTGTTGTGGATCTGTGTTGTGGATCTGTGTTGTGGATCTGTGTGTGTAAGAGTGGAGTCAGCAGGTGCAGTGCGATGATTGGCTGGATGAGGGAAGCCGTCAGCGCAGAGGATCCGATTGGCGGAGCAGTCAGCATCTTCCCATTTAAAAATCCTGGGCTGCCAACCATGAGAGAGAGAGAGAGAGAGAGAGAGAGAGAGAGCGAGAGAGAACTGCAACCCACAGCGGCTGCATTGCTGTGGGTTGCAATGCAATCTCTCTCTGTGATTTCTCTCTCTGGTTTTTGGCATCACGTTGAGTGGACACAGGAGAAATTGCAGCTTTTTGCACCTTGACTTTAGCTATGATTACTAAAGGTTGTTGCTCGTGACAGCCATTTTCGGGGTTGTTTTACCTTTGCTTAATCTCACAATTGTGGGGGACTCAGTTGTCCAAATGGACTAAAAACTGGCCTTTGGTTTTCCGTTATTTTTAACTTTTATTTCTTACCTCTCAGCAAGTGGTTAAATGGAGAAGAGAAATTACACACACAGTGGGCAGTGTTAATGTTCAGCAGGAGTGTGACACCCATTTAGCCTAGATAGAATTGATAATCTATCTTAAAAAGCCTGTCACAGTGAGGCTGCTCTCACCCACAGAGGGCAAGGCTACAGAAAAACACATGCCACACAGCTATTACACTCTGCAACACACACTCCTGTTCTGTTCTGTGCACACACTAAACACACAGTGCAAGAAACAAATGCAGCGTTCTCTCCTCTCACCGAGTGTAATTTGGACCCCAACCCTCCCAATTTTCTGTCTGGGACAGTCTGTGGACAGGCTGTGGAGAGCAGCAAGTGTGCAGCCCTGTTAGGTTTAGGTTTTCCTGCCTGTTTTCCGACACACAGCAGGAATGAGATAAACAATATGTGCATTCTTAGGTCCTGGTGTATGCACAGACATACACAGACGTCCATGCGTGCTGCACAACCCATGTAAACACAAAGACAGATAAATCAGGTTGTGATTATTATATTTTAGAGAAAACTCAACGGTGTTTTTCACATACTGTATATACAGACTCAGGCACAGCAGGAGTTTGAACACACATTCAGTGGTCTCCAGGCTCACTGCAGCCCTGTGGTCAAAACGTTACCAAATCTTATTGAATTTTTTTTTCCAACAGTCACTCTTTTCTTTGGAAAATGGGAAAGCCTCATGAAAGCTTGAGAGAAATACGATCCAATCCCAAGACGGTTGGAACACTAATGATAAAATTAATTTTGATGGTCTGCAAACCATATAAACTCTGTGAATGTTGAAACAAAAATTGTATTGTCTTATGGTAAACATATGGTCAGCATTACTTTTAAAAAGTTAGGACAAAAATCATGAAAAAGTTGCGTGATTCTTAAACACAGCTGGAGAAACAACTCTCAAGCTTAATCTTCAGCAGGTCTCAGCTGGCCTGGGAACGCCTCGGGTTCTCCTGGAAAGAGCTGGACGAAGTGGCCTGGGAGATATTGCAGAGAGTATTATACAGTGTAATTTAAATATAAAGGCAGCAACAGGTTTCAAAACATTGTGACAGGGACATGCTTCTTTCCATCATAAATACTAGCTTGAAATGTGCTGGATGGTCCCTCCCCTCTCTAAAACATCCCAGACCACAAGACAGCTCCTTGATTCCATCCGTTCATCCATTTATTCACTTTTTACTGCTAATCTGGATTTGGGTCGCAGAGGCAGCAGCCTAAGCAGGAAAGCCCAGAATTTTACATAACCTATTCTTCAGAGTCCCACTCCAATTATTTGTTTTTTAATTCTGACAGTGTTCTCGGTGGTCTTTAAATTGTGATTATGAAGTTTTTAGCCAAAATTGCGTTACCTTTGTCATTTTCAAGAACTTTTCTTCTGCAGAGCTTCAGAAGCTCATTAGCAATTCTCCTCTGAGTAATAGGCAGAGACAGCGCTGCTCATGCTAGCTTGCAGCCTAACATTGCAGGTGTAGTAGAAGCAGCAGGGAACATAGGAGCTATTCAGCTCTTGGACACTAATGTCTTAAGCGGCATGGCGGAAAGTAATATCATAATTAGCTCTCTTACGAGCATTGCAATCTACTACCACACATGCTTGTTCCACGATTATCCTCTCTATTTCTCTGTCTGGCCTGAATAGTGGGGCTCTGGGGACAGAGCTTGGATTTGCTACGTAAGAAAGCTCACTGTATCTGTACCCACCGTTTGGGTCTGCCCGAGATATTTACGTGGATTTGAGTGCAGAAAAAGCAGAAATGCAAATTCGCACTTATTTTCCTCATGATATGTCCTGTAGCATCTGAAAAATGTCATATGCACATGTAGACAACAAGAAAAACATGATTTTCATCGGAGTGGGTCTTTAATTTATTCTTTCTGAGAATCTTGATCCTGATTCTGAAATATAATAATCTGCATAATAATCAAACTATTCTGCACTATCCAAGTACATAAACTTGACTATGGGAATTTTCTCTAACTGCAGTTTCAGTTGAATTTAAATCTGTCAGGGCTGCTTTTGTGTATTCTGAAAAGGTCCAGTATGGGGTTCTGATGGGGTAATGCTGTGCATTTATTGGTGCACAGTCTGAGCGGGGTGCCAGGTTAAAGGGTTAAAGTTTCTGTGGGACGTCTGAGGACACTACGCAGCTTGGTTAGACCCAGCTGTCAAAACACACACAGAACACAGAAACATGCACTCCAACTCAACCAGGTGTCTCTGTATGAATAAGTGAAGTGTACACCACCTGTATACACACACACACACACACAGTCACACACACAAATTCAGTGTACAGCCACATCTCAGTCAGGTGGGGCTGATGGTTTGAGGTGTCTCAACATTGTGTACATGTGCAGAGAGGCCACCAGAGGGAGCTTTGTCTGTGTCCACAACAGCACACTGCAGTGCAGACCTATTACAGCTGTCAGCAAATACTGTGTGAGATTATGTGTGAGTGCATGTGAGTCCCTCCATGAGGCAGTCAGGACATTGTATGTATGCATGTGTTGATTCGGTGAGATTGGCGGCTTCGTCCCGAGGGAGCCGTGGCTAAGCCGACGCCGGCGCACTGTTAAAGTTAAACACACCTAATTGAGGAAGACGCTTACAGGCTCTCCTCTGTGTGTGTGTTAGAGTGGCAGAGGGTGAAAGAGTCAGTTAGACAAGAAAGTATGTGAAGAGAACACAGCAGTCTTGCTGTAGTAAATATCACACATGCACATATATCAAATGCTTTTTCCATCATCACATTGACCTGCTCATCGTACCCAAAGTCTCTAAGAGTGGTCTGGGTGGTAGAGCTTTCAGTGATCAGGACCCTCTCCTCTGGGATCATCTACAGGTCCAGGTGTTGGAGGGGGGCAGACACTCTCTCTACCTTTCTCTCTTTCTCCATCTTCTTTCTGTCTGTGTCATAAACTTTAAAGAGAAGTTTTCATGCTTTTCCACACTTACAACAAAAACTGCAAAGTAACAAAGTTTGGTTTCCATACAACATGTATGCAAAGTTTTAATGATGACAAGAAAAATATATTTTGTCGTAATCTGAGAAGGTAGATGAAAACTGCTCAAATGCGTGAAAATTCAAGACTAGTTTTTGTGCCAGATTTACTCCCAGGGGAAATCTACTTCAAGGGATATTCCGGCATAAAATTAAGTTAGGGTCAAACACACCATAACACTAAGGTAGACACCCCCTCTTGCCGACTGTTTGCTTCTCTAGTTGTACTAACTTTGGTAATGACCGCACGATAGCAATACACAGTGGTATCTACGTCTCCACGTGCAAACCTCCACCAAAAAGCCACTCTATAGCCACAAATAATGCTCAGAACAGCACCTAACTTCATCAACAGGACATATAGGGTCCAAGCCATAGTACTAGCCATCAAACATCTTTTTAGTTTTGCCTGGTTTCTTGAACAAAGAGACTAAACACAACTCACCAACTCTCCTCCAGCAGCCGCTTGTTTGTGGGGGAGCCTGACGATTTGATCACCGAGTGCAGCAAAGTTTCGCAGCTCAAGGAAGAACATTTATGAAGAACAGTCCCTCCAGGAATTTGCGTTGTTGGATTGCAATTATAAATGCAAATTCAACTGCGAATTTCCCACGAGGTGATATTTGTCGATAAATGTGAGCGTTGAGTGTTGCATGTCTTCATCTTCTTAATGTAAAAAAAGGAAGTGAATATGATGACATACATGTCACGTAGAGGCGTAGGCAAAAGAGGGCTAGGTTTATTGGTCAAATTTGCGGTGAATGGACAAAATTGCAGTGCCTTGAGGAATTTGCGGTGATTGGTTGAATTTACGTTAATAGTTGCGATTGCAACATTATGAATTCCTGGTGGGACTGATTAATACCTATGCCCTGCCAATAATCAGATACTCCGCCAGTATAATATCCTGGCCATTGGAAGGGACAGAGACACTGATATCAAGACAAGGAAACTCCTTGCAATGCATCGAGGGTTTCACCCGAAGTCCAGCATCCTGAAACTATTCACTTCGCGGAAGGAGGGAGGCTGAGGACTAGTGAGTGTCAAAGTCACTATCCAGGAGGAAACAGCTGGCCTGGAGGAGGACATCAGGGAGATCGCTCCCAGTGATGACCTGCTAAGTGAATGCCTCACGCAACAGAAGCCCAATAAGGAGGAAGAGCGGGAGGGGCTATCATGGGAAGACAAGCCCCTACACAGCATGTACCATCAGCAAATTGAAGAAGTGGCTGACATCGGGAAAAAACATACCAATGGCTGGAAAAGCCTGGACTGAAATACAGCACAGAGGCACGAATCATGGCTGCACAAGAACAGGCCCTCAACACAAGATCAATAGAGGCTGGTGCCATGGACTTGTGCTTTCAAGCTGCTCCAACTATCAGCATCAGTCTCTCCTCTGTCCATCTCTATCTCTTTCTCCATCTCCCTCAATCAATCTGACACAAATACATAGTTTCCTCTCGCAGCAAGATGTGTGAATACACAAATAATTGTATATATTTGTCAAGAGCTATCTATCAAATCCTTTTAGCTTTTCAATCGCATCATGACACTTGTCTACACCATTTCGAGTTATCACCTACTGTTCCCTCCACTAGAGTTTGATTGTGCCAGTTCTGTCAAACTTTGTGAACGCACAGGGCTGTGGGCCCACTGCCAAAACCAACTTGTTCAAAGTAATTTCTTGGCTGAAATCTGATGTGAACAACTTCTTCAAGCAGAAATCTCATATCTGCTGTCATTCCCTCATGACGTGAATGCTGCTTGAAACAGGGCAGGTGTTGCAGGTGTTGTAGATCTGCTCTGGGCCGCCTCGCTCACTGAGCCTCCTTCAATGCGGGCACTGTTAAGGCAGTGCGTGATTCCAGTGTTTTAGCAGCTCCACTGGCTGCTTCTCTCGGACGATTACGCCAGCAAGGTTTACTTTAGGACGGGAGCGTGACAGCTGCTGGAATGCCTCCGCTCTGCCCACAGGGAGCGGGACGCGGGTCACACTAACACTTCAGTAACACAGGTCTGGGCAGCGTGGTCCCAGCATGCAGCTGTAATGGGCCATGGATCAGTAGGGCTCGTTCCCAACTTGGCCACTGATGCTGCCATGGATTGTAAATTGTGAATATGCAGCAGAATGTTTAAATCTACCCTTAACTGCTCTTGATTATGAGAAGCTCTACTGATGAATTTTACACAATCCAGCCTGAAATGCCACAATATTTAACATAGCAATTCTTATTCTTTAATTCTTAGCCATTAATATGACTGCTAAGTAACACAGAATAAATACACAAACATAGTACATAATCCTATAATGTAATTGTTTTTTATTTACCTCAGGGTCTCATCTTGCATATTTTCCTTTTTTTGATTTAACTTTTGTATGAGAGAAAACCATGAGCTTGGTTTTATCTTTGTTTAAAAACAATTTAAGATCACTTAAGCAAGACTGGATAGCAGCTTGTAAAAACTCAAAGCCTGAGTGAGTGAGGTTAAACAGCAATCAATAATAGTGTCATCTGCATAAAAATGATACACTGTGTTTGACAAAGAAGGGACTAAAACCAACTAATATTGGACTTTTTGGAAATAAGGAGGTGTCCAAATATGGTGTCATGGGCCTACAGATAAGAACAGAACGTGTATTATCACTTCCTAGAAATGCATCCATACACTAAGACACTAAGGCAAAAGAACTACCACATCATCAATGATTATTATGATTATTATTACTTCATGGAAATGATACGCTGCACTCGGTGATCGACTCCTCAGGGCTCCCTCAAAAACAAGCAGCTCCTGGCATAGAATAGGTGAGTTGTGTTTGGTCTCTTTGCTAAAGAAACTAGGCTAAGCTAATAAGATGTTTGATGGCTAGTACTACGGCTGAGACCCTATATGTACTGTAGATGAAGTTAGGTGCTGTTCTAAGCATTATTTGTGGCTCAGAGTGGCTTTTTGGTTGAGGTTTGCGCATGGAGTGATAGACCGCTGTGTATTGCTGTTGTGTGGTTGTTTTAAAAGTTGGTAGAGAAGCAAGCGGTCGGCAAGAGGGGGTGTCTAACTTGGTGTTACAGTGTGTTTGACCCAAACTTAATTTTACACCAGAATATCCCTTTATGAAGAGTACCCCTGGGATCTGTCCTGGGGCCCCTATGATTCTACTAATGCCCCTAGCATTAGAGCATTAACAGTTTGAACATATCATACCTCTTATACACCACCGGCATTCAGCTCCACTTCACCATACTATATCTGCTGTGATAGTGTTGCGATATAACAGCTGTCAACCTTCTCCTCTACAAACAAAGGAAATGTATTTACACGACTGAATCACATTCAAGAATCTTTCAATTCTCAAGGCTTATTTTTTTTAGATAAAATAGTCTGTGTGCTGAAAAACACTGGTGCATTAGAATAAGTGAAATACTCTGAAAAAAAAAAAAAACAAAAAAAACCCTCAAATATATCCAAAATCATTCCTGCCAGTTTAAAGTGCTCTCTGTACAGTCTTTGCAGGGAGGTTTGTGTACGTGTTTGTAGAATTTTTTGTGGGCTCTTTAGATGTGCTTATATAATCTTTTGATTAAGTGGTTGGCACCCTTTACAGTAAACCAAGCAGCCATCCTCCTGCATTGCACAAACCTACATACTTTGGAGATCTGAGAGCTCTTATCTTATCTTTGTGGTTAAGCATGACACTCAGGGCTGAGGGCATAGATCTATGCCAGGTGATTTTCTCTTTTCCCACCTGTGAACCAGGGTGTGTGCGTATGTGTGTGCGTATGTGTGTGTGTTTACAGACTTAAATTGACTTAAATCGCACGGAGGATCTGTGAGTGCCTGTTTCATGCTAAAGCGCATTCCAATGCCAATTCACTTTATCAGTTGATTTGCCTAATGGTCCTCCTCACCTTTTATGTTGAGCTGTTTATCTGGCTCTCCTCCAGTCAACTCTGTTCTTCCATGGCCAAGAGAAACAGTCCCACTTATAAACTACTTAGCAAAGCTTTGGGAAAACAGATAGGCTCCTATCTTCAAATCTGTATCTGATATTTGTGGTAATTATGTTTGTCATCAAGCAGATCAGCAGCTGGTCTTTTCAACAGGCTATGCCTGATACCATTGGCCTTTACTGGGCTCTTCTTCCACAGTTGGAAAGGGTAAATGCAAACATTGACAAGCAGAGACCAAGTGAACCATCAGCTTTGTGAATGCATGTCCAAAGATTTGATATCCGGCTGCTGTCCGGAGGATCCACTCAGGTCTCTGGTCCAGTCTGAAGCCGAGCCAAAAGTAAACTTCTGTGGCGGCTCTAAAGGAGTCAAGCTGTGACTAATGTGAACCAGCAGAATCATCTCTGAGCTGCCAACCAGGAAATCAATACAGCTGGAAAAGACAGTGGACCAACATGCCTTCCAGTTCTGTTTGGTTTAAATTAATACTACTCGCGTTGTGAAACTATATACAAGGAGCACACCGACAACAAACATTCTTTTTTCAAGTTTTTATTTATACAAAAAAGGAGAAGAAACCCCCTGAAACTCCAGTATGATGGAGTATTATGGCCACATTAAGAAAAAAATAAATAAATGATAAGACTTTGAGATTACATTACTAATGAGAATAAAGTGGCTATAGACCGCTCTGTATTGCTTTTGTGTGGTCGTTACTAAAGTTGGTATAACTAGAGAAGCAAGCAATCGGCAACATTCATCTCTCGAGGGGGTGTCTCACTCTGCGTTATGGTGTGTTTGACCCTGACTTAATTTTAGGCCGGAATATCCCTTTAAAGTTCCTAGATTTCCAAGGAAGGGTTGTTTCTCAAGTCCCTTGTTATCTTAAAAGTCAGAAAGACAATCTTGTCAAAATGGGGATCTTAGGAGAAAGTGTGCGAGTGCACGTTGGTGCAAACACACTGCCGCAGCTGCTTGTCATTTCAGCCTTAGCACGCATGGCCACCTGTTCTGAATAAAAAGCTGCTCTCTACCTCCCCTCTGCACTCCTGTGCATTTATCATGTCGTTTACAGAAAGGTGATATTCAACATGAGGGCTGTGTCCCCCCTGTGCTGCTCCACTAGAAATCACAGAGCATCCGATGAGTGTCATGAGGCACAGACCTGCAGGGTCCTTCCACAAGTCATGTCCTCACAGATTAAGTGAAACATGCTTCTCCATTTGTTATTTACTTTATTGTTCTGAAAATAAAATAGTGTTGTTTTTGATGGTCTTTCATATTCACTGTTTCTACTGTGTATGATGGAGGTAAGTATTCCAGTTTCTTATTTTATTTACATATTAGCTTAAGGGCCAAGAATGAATGAAAAAAGAGGGAAGGAGATTGTTTTAGCATAAACCTTAAATTTATCCAATTATGAAAAAAAAAAGTAACATTTTTGTTTTTCATCCTCCTCCACCTGCCTCCTCCTGCTCCTCTTCCTGCCCTTCTCTCTCCACCTGCCTCCCCCTATCTTCTCCCCCTGCTCCCCTCCTTGCCCTCTCACCACCTGTGGCTGCTTATACTTATAGCTTTTACTGCTGCAGCACATGTTGAAAAATTTGCCACAATCATTTCTTATCATTTTTGTGCCCTTTAATGACCCACAGTTTGAGTCACAGCACTTCAGAGAATTTACTTTTGTCATTTTTTAGAGCGAGACTTTCAGATGGAGTCAGAGCAACTT